GCCTTCTAATCTTCTCACTAATAAAATGATAAAAGTTCTTGGGTTGGGCTATGTAAGATGTCTTTCCTGCAGTTGTTTGAGGGGGAGGTACAATCATACCCTTTGGATCTTGTCACTAGGTGGGGTTTTTTAATCTTCTCTGTTGTAGGTGGAGAACCTTGTACAAAGTGCTCTGCTTTTAAATCAGGCACTAAATGTTTGTTTCTGAAGCTACGGAAACATCCCAGGGGCTCCCAGCCAATTGTGCCTCATGCTAGGTGCCAATTGTGCTCATGCTGGCAGTTGACATGCTTCATCCGTCTGATCCCTATGAGTCAGGGGCTGTCTTGGCTTCACCAGGAGCTGCCATTGCAGTCTACGTTTGAAAGTAGAAGCCTGTAACTGAGATGTTGCTCCAGCCCCAGGAACACAATGTTCCTGGCCAAATGCACCTTTATGAGTAGAAAATAAACTTTATGGTAATTTTTGTGGTAATAAACTTTATTTAGCTTCTGCAGGGACTGACTCCCTGTGGTTGGCTTTCTGCTCCCTTGAGGCAGAGGATAGAGGAGACAATCGTATATTCTAAGTGCAGGATGTAACCTGCTGCTTTTGAACACTGTTTGTTAAATATTTTGCATCCCATTACTGAACTTGCATTTTTGAGCCATTTTTATGAAGCCTAATATTAGGGTGTAAAACATCCCTGTGGCTCACATGAATCATCTCTTCCTTAGAGAGGAAATAAGAATGAAAGTAATGAGGCTGGTTTGTTCTGAAGACAGCTGTTGTTCATAGAATGGTTTGCACTCCTCTACTGTGTGTTAAAGATACACTAAACATATTCTGAAAGTTTTCTAGGTGTCTGTTTTGGGATGTTTTGAGCAGAACCCCTCAGTCACTCACTGTAACAGGGACAGCCACTTCTGCAGCTTTCTTGGTAGGTACAGGAACATTGGTGTCCTGATGGAAGATCTCCAGCACCAGAACTGGCTGGGACAAGTGGATTGTCCTCTCCCCATGGGTTCTCTAGCCTGCGTTGTCACCCACAGACTGTAGTAGACTAATTAGTAGACTAATTTATTTTTTGTAGCTCTTTTCTCCAAAGCACTGTTAAAGAAGAGGTAAATTATTTTCAAATTATTTTTAAAATTCCCTTGTATTTCCAAAGTTGCTGCTTATTCTTGAGGTTGTACTGTTGTATTATTTCAATTTGGCTAGTGCCTAAAACAGCAAAATGAAAAAGTCAATCAGCTATAGTGAAATCAGAAAAAAAAGTGAGATTAAAGCTGTTGAAGATGTTTTGCTAGCATGAATAACTCTTGTCTTCAGTCACATTCTCTTCTGAAGTAGCTGTTCTTAGAAATGAGATGTTGTGATCCCATGGAAATAGGAAAGTTCCTTACTGTGAGTATACAAAGGCACTTTTGGTGACAGAATACTTGAAAAAATAACTGACATTTGATTTGTTGCAGAACAGTTTAGTATCTTTGAATGTTCTCCTATTTGATGACTGCAGTTAAAGCAGTCCTAGTTGGTAGCTTGGGTATTACTGGATATTTACAGAAAAGCATCCTTAATTTTTTTTTCTTTTCTGCTTGTGGATGCTGTCCCAATTCCTGTTGTTTAATAGTTGCACTTATATAGTTGCACTGAACTTTTGGGTGCAAGCTGATACTTGCTCTTGGACAGTCGATATATTAAAACATGTCACATCTTCAACTCTAGGTTAACGCTATAGTTTTATGGGGTCAGGAACAAATTCTGCCGTGAAGGCATCTCTTTCGTGGGAACAGTGGGAGAAAGCATGGGGACCAAAGCCTAGGTAGCTGTTCAGAGTTTGCATCGAACTGAAGGCAGGCTCTGTAACCTATCTCTTTGGAAGCCAGTGGTGAGAATTTGAAGTGGGAAGAGTTCCTTCTTTATTCCTACTTGAAGGAGAAAGTGACGTATAAAATGCCCAATGGACAAATTATAGGAGTTAATGCAATCAACAAAAAGTCCCAGCCAGCTGCATTGGCTTAACAGCTGGTGTGTGCTTGTATTTGCTTGTGTTCAAGCAGGGGAATGAACGTGTGAATAGTTGTCATCTTTTCGGCTGGGATGGAATTGTTTTCTTCAGATTGCCTGGTATGATGCTGTGTTTCAGTTCTAGGAGAAAAGCAGTGTTGATTTGTTGCCTGCTAAGCAGTGCTGTACAGAGCCAAGGCCATTTGACGTGGCCCTACCATATGACATCATGTGGAAGGAGTTTTGAGTGGGGTGGGAGTTAATCTTGCTCTCTAGCTGTTTGGGGGCTAGCTGGGCATCAGTTGGTGGGTGGCAAACAGTTACTTGTACATCACTTCTTATGTTCATTTCTATTTATATACGTATATATATATATGTATGCCTAGTGAAAACTGTTTTCCTTTTCTCCGCCTTAGGAAGTAATTTGAACATGAGCCGACAGTGTGCCCAGGTGGCCAAGAAGGCCAATGGCATCCTGGCTTGCATCAGAAACAGCGTTGCAAGCAGGAGCAGAGAGGTGATTGTTCTCCTATATTCAGCACTGGTGAGGCCGCACCTCAAGTACTGTGTCCAGTTTTGGGCCCCTCACTGCGAGAAAGATATTGAGGCCCTGGAACGCGTTCAGAGGAGGGCAACAAAGCTGGTGAGGGGTCTGGAACACAGGGCTGATGAGGAGAGGCTGAAGGAGCTGGGAATGTTCAGCCTGGAGAAGAGGAGCTCAGGGCAGACCTCATTGCTCTCTATAACTTCCTGAAGGGAGGTTGTAGTGAGCTGGGGGTCAGCCTCTTCTCTCATGTCATTAGTGATAGGACCAGAGGGAATGGTTTCAAGCTACGACAGGGGAGATTCAGGCTGGACATGAGGAAGTATTACTTTTCAGAAAGGGTGGTCAGGCACTGGAATGGATGCCCAGGGAGGTGGTGGAGTCACTGAGCCTGGGGGTGTTCAAGGAAAGGCTGGATGTTGTGTTGAGGGACATGGTTTAGTGGGAATAGGTGAATGGTTGGACTGGATGATCTTTTAGGTCTTTTCCAACCTTGGTGATTCTATGATTCTATGATAATTTAATCTCAACTCATGAGTTCTACTTGTTGTTTTTCTGTTTGCTTTTTTTTTAAATTCTCTCTACCATCCACTGGGAAGAGGTGAGTGTGAGCGAACAACTGTATGATGCTAAGGTGCTGAGCTGTCTGCAAGGTTAAACAATAGTAAAGACAAGAATAAAGTTTTATTTCAGATGCTTGCTTTAATTGAGTTTTGAAAGGCTGTAAATTAATAAAAAACTAGCCACTGTGATGATAAGAAGGAAGTAGATCAGTGGAAAAAGTTGTATCTGCATGAAAAATACACCATCTTTTTGAGCTTGTGTTTGATCTCTCTGAGAAACTTTTTGAAATAACTTGGGTCAAGATGTAAGCTGGGCAAAAATGAACTGAGTGGTTCATTTTTGAGTGGAACTTTCTGCCTCTCAGCTGTATCATTTCCTGAACGAACAGGTGATGGTAGATATAACATATTTGTGAGATGCCTGTGCTTACCTGTACTTTTCAAATAAGAAAGTAAATACTTAAAGACACTGTCATTTTTGTTCTTTATTCATATGGCTTGTGGTGAGTGTGTCCAGGCACTCACCTTGCATTTGTAGGGTTCTTGCAAATAGTTTCATTTCTAGATATAGGAGTCTCCTGCCTTTGTGTGTGGGCACTTAAGAGATCTGTGTAATTGGGTGTCCTTTTTCTTCCAGAAAATGCTTCTTCCAACAAATGCCAAGAGGCACGATTGCTTTTTTTCTTTATTTCTCTTAAATGATATCCAGCATGGTTGTGGATACCGACATGATGTTCACTGATTGGCAGAACCATGTTTCATAGCACTGAAAGCTCTTCTCTGTAGGTAGACTGAGTGCATCCTCCTGGTGTTCTCCACTTATCATTCAGCTGAGGCAACAGAGTACAGCTCCATGAAAGCCAGCAATACTGAAATCTAATGCTGATGTAAGAATGAGATTTCACCTTGCATCAAGTGAGCCAGGAAAGTGTTGGGATCACAGGAATGCTGACTCCTGCTCAGCCACAAAATTAATTGCATTCAAGGAAGGAGATCTCCATTGCTTAAGGAGTGTACCAAATCTTCCTCTTTTCTCAAAGATGTTAGGACTCAACTAACCTTAGCAGCCTATGCTTCTTTGTATCTCTCTCCTGTGAAAGGTTTAAAAGGGACAGTAATTGGAAATACTGTTTGTAGATGTGAGATGCAGTACATGGAATGAAGTTTGAGTTATCAGACCACTGATTCAGTTCTTACCATATGGTTAAAGGCTTGAAATGTTTTCTGCTGAGCTGTAAGATGTCCTAAATCCCTTTCTTCAAACAGGTTTCAAGTATCCTTTGTCACACTATATATGTCTCCTAATTCTTCTATGAATAAACTGACCAGCTGTTGTTTGTTTTAGACATGAAGCTGCTTGGAAGTCTCTTGATTTCCATCTTCTACAGTCTTCAGTGACTGGAGTGTTTGGCACTGATGACTAAAGTTGAAGTTGACTGAGTGGAGGAGGTGGTGGGGAGGCAGACTGGATAAAGCACTTTTCCCAGTTCTTATATCTGTGTGGTTTCTCTGAAAACCTGTTCATTTGGAAGTCCCTGAACAAACCTGTGTTTGATAGCCAAACAGAGCTGTGGTGAGTGCTGCCTACCTGCTATCCCCAACGTTGTTTGCTTTTGCTATTCCTTGCTTGTGATTGCTTTGCCTTTTACTTGTTTTAGACATGTGGTGAAAAAGAGCTCTTCTATGGCTTCTGTTTTCAAGTCTGTTTTACTGCTCTGTCACAGTAAGTACGAAAATGGCAATCATATTTCCATTAAGAAAGCAAGTGCCAGCATCTGTCTTCAGGGCATTTCCTGCCATTCATCAGGGACTAAGAATTTGTTTACTGCTTTTTGGGAAGTAGCAATGTGGAGCTGCTGCTCAGAGGTGCTGAGCTGCTTGGAGGAGTCCTGGCAAACAGACACCAGGCCCTATCTGCAAAAGATGGTAGAGAAGCACGTCATGGCTGGAGCAAACCCTGGAGTGTGCAGCTGCTACCAGGCAGAGCCAGGTAGGAAGTGGGGAATGTGAGAGGTTTGCTTTTATAGCCAAAGACTGTTCTCCTCTCTTTCCTATTCAGAGTGTTTACAGCTTTGAGATGTTAGAAGTCTTATTTTTTCCTGCCAACTCTTACATTCCTACAGCAAAAAATCTTTGCCTCACCAAACCCAGCACATGCAGCAGAGATGGATTTGTACAAGGCTTCAGGATTAGTGCTGGAGGCTGAACTTCGTATGCATATTTGTGCTGCTGGTTTTGGTGTGGGAGCCATAACATCTCAAGACAGAGTCATCTCTTGGTGAGAGAATGCACCTAGAGCCTGAACTGGTGTCTGAACATGTGGCTTTTCTGGGAGAGTATTAAAGGAAAGCTGAGAGACCTGATGCTCTTCATTCTAAAGAGTAGGCTCATTCTAAAGAGGGACCTTGTAGCAGCTCCCCAGTATCTGAAGGAGGCCTACAGGAAAGCTGGGGAAGGACTTTTTATAAGGGCAGGCAGTGACAGGATGAGGGGAAATGGTTTTAAACTGGAAGAGGGGAGATTTAGACTAGATATTGGGAAAAAATTATTTACTGTGAGGATGGTGAGATACTTGAACAGGTTGCCCAGCAGGACTGGAGCCCTCCTTCCTGGAAGCATTCAAGGCTAAGCTGGAAGCGGATTTGAGCAACCTGGTCTAGAGGGAGGTGTCCCTGCCTATAGCAGTTGAAACTAGATGATCTTAAGGGTCCTTTCAACCCAAACCATCCTAAGGTTCTATGAAATGTAGATGCAATATTCGAAGAATGTTGTTTTACAATTTGGTGTGCTCATTGCTATCGAACTTTTTTTTTTTTTTTAAAAAAAAGCAAAACAGAACTGCCATTTTCTTCAGCATCCAGCTTGCCCGGTCCTGTGTGCTGCTATGGTCTGCAATAGCAGAGCAGGCGACAGAACCCACTCCAGCTGTCCTTTCCTAGACTTGGGCTGTTGCCTTTAGCCACAGAGCTATAATAAACTTTGGAATTATTTTGCATTTTGTTGGGCTCTTAAATAATGTAAGGACTGTGTAATTGTTCTGTATGTGTCATGCTTTTGGGATTATTCTTACACTGTGAAATTGTCTACAGCTGTCAATATATACACGGATTTTTTGCACTTAGTAAACCCATTTGAAGTTCCAGTTCTCATGAATTATGCTTGTTTAGCTTATTTGAAACTCATGAAATTATCAGCTGGAGTGATTTGACAAATAAGGAATATGATTTGTGAAACAACTCCAGTTCATGTTAATGTAAAAACTGGAAAATTACTAACATTTTGTCTAGAGATGAATTATAACTTTATTTAAAGAAATGCTTATGTAGAATAAGATTTGACAAAATCTTTCAAAAATATATTTTTCATTGGGTGATGCCAGAAGAAATACAGGAATTTCATATAGCTTATAGCTTGTATTCTTAGCATTACTAGTGAAGGAGTTTTTGTACGTATGGTGCTACTAGTTTGAGGAAATAAGAAAGGGGATATAAATGCAGCATTGACAGTATGTCGATTTATAGTTCAGTGTGATTGAATGTAGCCTGTTGCAGCATGGAAATTGACTCCAGTTGACACTGCATTCAGCTTTTGAATGTTGTTAGTAGTTCATGGTATGACCAAAATGCTATTGCTTTGTTTTTTCTAGGTAATTGTTATTACTGCCATGCAGCGTTGGGAAATTGAAATACTGTACTATTTGCGCTGTGTAACTTGGATCTAGTTTGCTTACTGAAAGATGTTGCAGTGTGCCAGCACCCTCTTGTGGGCTGTGGAATAGTGTGGAATTTTGACTTGCAAGATGGAAATGGCAAAATCTCTTACAGCAGTGGCTGTATATTGTCCCAGGTACAGGTTGTGTCCCCCACCCTAAATAACTACTGGACTGCACATGTGTTTGTACAAAACATTGCGTCTTGACTGAAACACTCTATTGCTTTGAAAATGACTTCTGTAATTTGCTGAATGTCAGGACTACTTCAGTCCTTTTGTACCTAGGAGTTCATCTGTAATAGCAAAATCATTCTGCTCCCAATTAAACAAGAATGCAATTGAATGTGCATGTGTGTGGAAATAGAACAGATTTTTTGCAGAGCTAGTCCGTTCTGTTACCCTGTATCTTTCTTTCCCGAAGTTTGCCTTTTGTTTCCCTTCCTAGTGCTGGTAGCTGAGGGGTTTTCCAGTCTTGCAGCGGCTTCTGGAGAATGCAAGATGGTGTCTATATTGTAATCAAGAGACTGATGTTTTTCAAAAAGGATGTGTAATGTGAGATGTTGTTTGTATGGGTTAGAATCGGCCACTATAAATAAAATTTAATATTGAAATTAAACAATAAAATCACAGCTTCCTGTACCCCTGGGGTGCTTTCCTTGGCCCAGATACTGAGCAATTTGAGTCCTTTTGTTTTTTTTCCCTGACCAGGAATATCCAGAATGGTGTTTTTTCTGCTCTCTTTGCTGGTGTTACAAGGGGATTTGATCTGAGACTATTATACTGCTGATTATTGTTTATGTGCAGATTTTTACTGTTTATTCTCACAAATCAGATATTTGTCCCCTTTAAGGCCAGGAGTTGCATCTGTGAAAAATATAATTGCTGTATGTTCTTTCTTTTTGCAGGTTGCAGACTCAGCATGTGTCCCTAATAATTAAAAAGGTAAGCAGACCATACTTATAAATATATAGCATGGTGCTTTGTATTTTAATTGATGCGTGCTTATCATGATAGGATGGAGATATTTCATCTTAATGTATTGGCATAGTCATTCAGTACTTAAAAAGTTGGTGCACTAAACCATTTCAAGAATGACCAATCAAAACAATTCGAAAATATAGAGAATATTAAGAAATACACAAATATATCAAGTTGATGCTCATCTTACGTAAAAGTTCGTAGCCATTTAACCAAAAATTTGTATTCAGTCTGTGTTAATAAAATAAATATGTAAAGATGACCTAGAATCGTAGAACTATTAAGGTTGGAAAAGACCACTGAGATCATCTAGTCCAACCATCAACCCATTCCCCATGCACACTAAACTGTGTCCTTCAAATAAAGTACTGTTTTAGTGAACCACAGAACTCAGAACCGGTGAGTTTTGTTCATCACTGCTGCCATTTTATCTTCATTCCTGCTTTTTTAAAGCCTACACATCTTCTTCACTCTTCTCCCTGCTTTTTGCCACTCCAAGTGCATTTTTGCTGCTGCAGGATCACAAGTAATCACAAATCCAGTCAGCTCAATGTTTAGCATCATGCAATGCAATGCAATGCAATTAAAAAAATAATAAAATTGATTGCTAAATTGCAGCAAAATCTATTTATCCCATGTCTGAACACCCAACAGCTATGAAGCCCTGGTGCCTGTGCCTGGTCAAGAGATGATGTGGTGCTGTGCGTGGCTCTAGAAAAATCATACAATCACGGAGGTTGGAAGGGACCTTTGGGGATCACCAAGTCCAACAATTTTGAGCTTAATCAGTGAATGTAATGGGGAAGGAGGAAGTCAGTCCAGTTTCTAAGTTCAGTTCCTGAAGCCAACTATTGCCCTACCTGATTGACTTTTTAAATAGTTTCAGTGTGTTTGGGGCTTTTTTTAACCTGCTTTAACAGCCTTTCAGATTTATTTTCCAATTAACTATTGGGTTAATTCAACAGCTGCAACTATAATCTTTTAAATTATGACAAAAATATGAATACTACTTAATCAGAGGTCTAGATTTCTCAGTTCTATTCTCTGAATGACTATAACTTTTTCTGAGGAAACACAACTTAAGTATGTTTCTGACAATTGTGGATATTTAAGGAATCTTTCAGAAATAATGTACGTTAAAAATCAAAAATTTAGCTCTTGAAGAAGGCTCTTACGAAGGATGGTGGATGGCTAAAACAAAACTTCTTAATAAATATATGTTCAGAAATAGTTTACTGTAAAACAATTCTGCGTCGTAAGTTTTTTCTTATTTTGAGCTGAGCTCCAGACTTGCTTGGTCAATGGAACATTGAATGTAGAACCAGTTATTTGCATAGAGTAACAGTAGATGGTGCTATTAGAGCAGATTTGATCACCTGAGCTGCAAACTGAGGGATATGATATCAGAACGGCTTGGAATGTCCTATGTGCAGCCAGCAGCATTGTGTTGGACGAGTTTGCCGTGCAGAGCAAATGTTCAGACTGTCATTAGCCTACAGCAAATTCTGTTTCTGCTAGTTTATATTTATTCTTGCTGTGGTACTGAACTGACAGACAGTAGCAGTATCAAAAGGGGAGAGCTACAGTAACGAAGGGGACAGAGTCTTCAGCAGGGTCTGCGGTGATAGAAGGGAAAATGGCTTCAAGCTCAGGGAAGCTAGATTAAGCTTAGATGTGAGGAAAATATCTTCTACAGTGAGGGTGGTGAAGCACTGGAACAGGTTGCTCAGTGTTGTGGTTGATGCCCCATCCTTGGAGACTTTCACGGCGAAGCTGGATCAGGCCCTGGGCACCCTGATCTAGCTGTGGTATTCCTGTGCATTGCAGAGGAGTTGGATGGCCCTCAGAGGTCCCTTCCAAGTCTAAGATTCTATGATTCTATGGTTCTTCTATGATGCTAAAACAGAGTAGGCAATGCGCCTAACCATTACTACAGAAGGTTAGCAGTAGTGATTAAGAAAGATTCATTACCCTGATACTTTACCACCACCCAGCTCCACAGTCGCTGGGCAGCCCTGGCCACAGCAAAGTTTTGGAGAGCCTTTCTTGGCAACTGGGAGGTGCAACTTTGCTGCAAGCGGGTCCAGGTTTTGTATTGTTGAATAAACAAGTTTACATGGCAGGCAGAAACAGCTGGTTTCATTCTTCCTCTTTGGATTCCACCTCAAGCTTGGCCAGGGTTCAAGAAAGAACCAAGGAAGTTTGTGTGCTCGTTGGCCTTGACAATGTGCTTCTAAGCAAGGAAAGGTTAATACACTTTCATAGTGCTTTATCTAAGCTACTTATCTCTTTCTGGTGAGACATTTTGTCCAAGTTGCATACTTCGCTAATGATCACACGTATTTTGCTAATGACCGAATACTAATGATATGTAACGCTGGGTTGTGAGACTTATGTATTGGTCAACTTTGATTCAAGGCCTACTATTTAGGCCTTAGTAATTCAGTAGGACACGAATGCCCTGACTGCCTGATACCTCTAAGCATTTTATTTTCTGGGAGTATTTTATTTTACTGTTTCGTACACACCAAAATAAATTATTCTAGAAGATTCTTTACTCAGAAGGAAACTGTATCATTCAACAACGTTCCCAGTCCTTGCTCTAATAATTAGCTTACTTATGCATTTATTATACTCTTATGTTTAAAAAGCATCACCTTATTTGGAGTATTGTGCTTTTAGAAGCATCTTGCATCCCTGTTTTTCAAACACTTCTTTTTTAAACAATAATATGTTTTGGTTTCAATTAATAGTTAAAGAAGTTACCCTCTTTAGTATCTTCATTGATGATCTGAATGAGGGAATTGAGTGCACCCTCAGTAAGACTGCAGATGACACCAAGCTGGAAGGAAGTGTTGATCTGCCTGAGGGTAGGAAGGCCCTACAGAGGGATCTGGGCAGACAGGATCACTGGGGTGAGGTCAGTGGGATGAAGTTCAACAAGACCAAGTGCCAGGTCCTGCGTGTTAGTCACAACAAACCAAGGATCACCAAAGGTGGGACTGGACAGTTATGCGAAAGAAAAGGATCAGGGGATTAACATCCCTGACAGCTGTCTGAGCATGAGCCAGCAGCGTGCCCAAGAAGGCCCACAGCATCCTGGCCTGTATCAGAAATAGAGCAACCAGCAGGAGCAGGGAAGTGAGCATCGCTCTGTACTCAGCAACTCTGGGGCTGCAACTCGAGCACTGTATTCAGTGTTAGGTCCCTCACTGCAAGAAAAACATCAAGGCCCTGGAACATGTCCAGTGAAGGGTAATGGTGCTATGAAGAGTCTGGAGCACCTTCTGTCTGATGGAGAGTGGCTGAGGGAGCTGGGATTGTTCAGTGTGAGGAGGAGGAGGCTCAGGGGAGACCTTATTGCTTTCTACTACAGCCTCAAAGGAGGTTGTGGAGAGGTGGGGTTGGTCTCTTGTCCCATGTGACAGCAGTAGGACATGAGGTAATGGCTTTAGTTGTGCTCGGGGAGGTTGAGGTTACTTATTAGGAGGAACTTTTTCTCTAAATGAGTGGTTAGAAATTGGAACAGGCTGTCCAGGAAGAAGGTGGAGTCACCATTTTTTGGAGAGATTTAAGGAAAGAGCATGTGTTTTAAAGTCCTGAAGATCATTAACAAGTACATAGTTTATAGGATGTACTGTATACACATGTACAGTATATGTCAGTAAGGTTGGGAAAGGGAGATTAGTTTGTTTCCAAGCTGAATGTTGCGCTGTGAGCAACATGCTTGCAACACTTCGGATGTTAGAATTTAATTCTTATTCCAAAATAGCTGGTGTGTTCATGAGTCGATTTGTCATTAAATATGCACAGCCATGATAAAAAAAAACACCCGGGCTTTCACAGTCATTTTACATATTATTTTCTTTTGCCTGAAAAAAAAAAAAAAAAAAAAAAAAAAACCAGAAAAAAACCAAAAACTTTCCATAGATAGATTTCAGGTATACTTTGACTGTGCTGCCTGAGCTGTGTCTTCACAGAATCACTGTTACTTCTGCTGTTAGTACAGGTAAGATTTTCCTCTTAATTATTGTATGTAACAGTACACAATACTGTACATATTTTATGCAATTGACAGTGTTAATTTTAGCCTTATTAGTAGCACATACTGTTTAATAAGAAAATCTACAATTTCTTATTTAGAAACTTACTAGTTGCCCCATTAACAAAGTGGGATGTTTTCCCAGTGTATGCATGTAATCCAGAGGCAACTGAAGTCCAAATGACAACAGAACAGTCACAGTCTTCTTTGGGGATGAGCAGATGGAGGGAAGAGAACATGTGTGTAGAGCATAAGCATACAGATGTGAGCATGCCTCTTTACCAGGCCTGAGCGATGGGCTTAAAGGCTCTTTGAATTACGCACATTAAATGGAAAACAGGATTTGTTATAGGCTGGTGGAAAGATTGTAGTACGCAATGTGAACGATCACAGAGGCATGGAAAGAGAGATTGCCAGTCGGAAACCCACGATTTAACTAAAGACATTATGTATGCAAAATAGAGATAACATAGTCATTTTGTACATACCATCTTTGAATTGGAGTTGGGGGGGGGGGGGGGTGGAAATGGAGGAAATCCTGTGATTTGTTTTAGGTGCTCCTGGGAGTCTTGAGAGAAAAAGTGTGTGTAAGCCTATTATTTTAACTTCATGCCACTTGAAAGTTTGCACTGCCCCTGACAAATGTATGGAGGAACTTTGTTGTTGGTCTTGTCACGCTCTTCTTTGTGAAGAAAAAATAAACAACAACAAAAAAGCAACAAAACAAACCACCCTCTAACGAGTGCTTTTGATTAGGTTAAAAGTGCTGCTTTCTTACAAGCAAAATGCTGAATGTATTACATTGTTATGTTAGATGCTTACATTCACCTTTAGATTTGTGTCTCTTGAGTATAAGAGCAGAAGTTTCAGTGGTTAGTAAAATTGTTTTCCCAAAGCCAGATAATCTATATGTAACGTAGTCTGAATGTTTTGATTAATAATAAGAAATGAGCACAATTCATGTGTAGGAGAGAAGACTATGTTACTCATTCTGTCCTTCAGCTGATGTTGGGCTTACACCTATCATCTCAATTTAAAGAGGAATAGCAGCTCTGGTTTTAACCAAAATAATGTACAAAATTTTTGTATGTAATGTACAAAAATTTTGTACAATAATGTACAAAAAACAAATGTACATCAGTATCATACTGGGTAAACAACTGCATCGTCAGTATCTTGACTGCTTGAATTACCTGCATGTTAGCCTGGAGAATGGATTTGACATTAATTTTATGTTGAGACACACTGATGGCTCCCCATGGGAAGAGCATTGCTTCATTTAATTCATGAAAATTGTCGTCCTTAAAAAAACAGACAACAAAAAAAACCCACCACCACTAGCTAGTAGTGAGATAAAATATTTTATATCCTCTTTCAGATTTAAAAAAAAAAAAAAAAATGCTGTAGTTCGTGAGAAACACTCAGAGCCAAAAATTTCAGGTTAGGCAAAGGTCTTAGTGATAGCAGTGAAGTTTATCATTATCGCAATAACAGACGCGCGCCCCCTATTGGCAAGGGAGAAATTGTGCACTGCTCAGCGAAATTCATTCCGTTCCGTACCCTAAATCCGACGCAGGTAATGCTTTCCTGGCACTCGCTCACTGGCTCAGCGTCTCAGCTCACAATCTCCCAGACACTGTTGCTGTGTCACATTTCCATATAAGGTCCATTACCAACCTGTTGTTTTTTGATATGTTTTGTATTTTCCCATGGAGATAGGAGGGCAGTATTTCCAAGAGTGAGCATGTCTGTTCTGTCCTGTGCTGGGCTCTCTCCCAACCCTGCATATTTGCCTTATCTTGTACCCAAGTCAATTCTATCCCAGTCAGAATGCTCCAAATCTTTGACTTTTTACTCTGTTCAGCAACTTTCTTAGTGGAAGAAGAACAGCTATTTCACGAGGGTTATAAGTTTAGTGAAGGCCTATAGTACATACAGAAAATATTGGGAGCTTCTACTGCAAAAACAAACCTCTCACATTTTCCCTTCTTTTTCTTTTTACCCTCTTTTGTTTTTGCACAAACTATGGAACATTTCTAATATAGGAGAGCTATCTTTCTAGCCTACCTTACTAATTGACTGCAATAATGTATTAGAACTAATCATCTTGCTATTTTCCAAACTCTAATATATAAGATTACTATTAAGAGTAAGCAGATCAGGCATAAAATCAAAATAACCACAATAGGATGCAGTATCATATTGCAAAGCCCTGTTGCAGCAGATGACCATCCAAAAGAACATCCCACCATTGTTGTTCTCCATCTCTCTTTGCCCGTTCCATTATTCAATATATTTCCTTCACATCGTGGTCTACTGTGATCAGAGTTCTTTGTCCATTCTCTTTGGATTACTTCAGTAACTGTTTCAGGTCATCATGTTGTAACAACTTCTTCACCATTGCAATATTCATTCCACTATGAACTGGTAGTAAACCTTGGATCTGTGTGTAATCAGATTGTAGTAGCTGATACGAGGTGACAGGTACAATAGATGTAAAATCACACCCTGTTATTTTGGTGAAGTTACAAATACAAGGATTAGCATGAGTTCTAGTATCTACGGTATCGATATTAAACACATTAAAATTGCAGTGTGTCCTCATGTAAACACAGCCTTTTCCTATATGGATCAATACAGTTTCAGGTTTTTAGTTAGGATGGATTTCAAAATGACATACATTCTGTTCCATGTCAAGACAGATATCCTGGCCCCTGATGGTATTGCTTTCACAAATAAATCTTCGTTGAGTTCTTACTGTACAAGTGGTAACATAAACCAGTTCTCAGCTTCAAGATAGGCCCATTCTCAGTGGTCAGTAAGGTAAAGAACAGACTCATCATGATTTATACCTAAGGCAATTATGGGGTATATAGTGTACACTGATGCTTGGGCTGTGGTCATCACAAATGCTGTGACAGAATCTTGTATCATGTCATAGGTGAAATTAGCCAAATTCTACCAAGACTGGAACCACACAGTCACTTACTGTAAAAAATAATTTACCTCTCACAAGTTCACTATTCAGAAAACAAATTCTTGCAAACTTTGTTGAATTTGCAGTTCTGCAACATATACTTTTGCTTACAGAAGTAGCCATGGAGAGCCCAAATCAAAATTAGTGCCCAGACCTCTGCTTTTCAAGGAGATCTAGTGCTTTACCTTGTACATTGGTTATATTAAAGCTTAAATATTCCACTTCCTGTTTTTCAGACAGCAGCAGTCTCTGCCAGCCAAAAAAACCATCAGAAGTATTTCACAATGGATGTAGATGATGAAGAAAACATGAGTAAGATGTTTATTTACACTACTGAATTATGCAGTCGTTTCAAAGGTTACCTTTTCTCATAAGCCACAGAGATGACTGAAGGAACTTGGAAGCATGAATTAAAATGATTTTTGTATGTTTTTAAATATAGGATATAAGCATAATTAAGAGCTTTTGAGTAAAAAGTGTTTTTGAAGTATACATGATTATGTGCTAGTCCAGTTATAACTTACGTGTACAAAATATTTTCCTGTTTTGATAAATAGTTTGGTATACTGCATTGACACTATGTATGAGTACTATGCATCCCAGTCTGAGTGGCATGTAAGACCCATCCTGGGTTGTAGGTGTACTGTGTCTTAGCTGCTTTTCTGCAAATTCCTTTACCTCACAGAAGAGCTAGCAACAGGGTATAAGGTTGCCCAAGGTAGGCTGGGTTATCTTGACAGCAGATTTGTGCAGAACTCTCAGGATGGGAGCCTTCTGTGTAATTCTTGTAGGCAGATCATTGTGAGACTTGATGGAAATAAAAGTCATTTTGACATGAAAAAGCCAGACAATTAGAAAGGTTGAAGGCCAAGACAGTACAATGCATCAAGTGAGCATTTCTAACAGAAGACATTTCATGTAGCTAGTAGCATACAACATTTTAATGTTGGCTAATGTGATAATGAGTTCTTTGAGATTTTTCATTTGAATAATCTGGTGTTGTGTGAGGTTTGATTGTCTGCCAATGGTGCATGTTGTGCAGTGAAAGATACCTCAATATCCTGCCATCAGGACATTTGTACTGAGGTCCAGAAGGCTAGTATTAGGAAAAATATCTTATTTTTAAATCATGGGTAGCTTTTCTGTTTAATAAAGCAGGATGCTGTTGTCAGATGTTGTATCTATATTGATGCTGCTTCAAAGAGCTGAATACACAACAGCTGTGATCAACTTGAAAAGGCTGCCTAAAGTATTCAGTACTTGAGAATTTAAAGACTGAAAAATGTATAGACTTGAATATACATACATATATAGAATCATAGAATATCTCAAGTTGGAATGGATCCATAAAGATGAATCCAACTCATAACTCCATGTCAGACCACCCAAAAATCAGACCATATGTCTGAGAACTGTCCAGATGCTTCTTGAATTCCAGCATACATGTACATATATAAAATATAGTGTTAGTTACTTTTATAAATCTTGTGTTTTGTTTGTTAGATCTATCAAGACTGTGTATGTAATCTTGTTGTCAACTGCAAGAAATTGGAAAAAAAAAAAAAAAAAAAGGAAAATGCCTGTTACTGGATGGAGAGGTTTTTTTTATTTTAATAGTTCAGATGGTAATCTTCTTTCTCATCAGACCTCTCCTAATTACTGTACATGCTTGACAATGTTTTAACATTTACAATTTTAGTTCTCCTGCCTTGTTTTAGCTGTGATACTGGCAGCACACCGAATCAGACACATGAAATGAGCTGAGCTGTGTTTTAGAAAGCGCATGGAGTGATGGTCAGTGCCTTCTGTGTATTCTGGTGTAGAGCAGCAGAATTTTAAGTACTGCTGCTCCTAGCTTCATGGAATCCTGAGTCAGACAGAGATTTCAGGGTTTCTCATTCCCTTCGAAATGTGTGGGAGACATCTCAGAGTCTTATGGTCTCTAAAACAAAGTGTTAACAGAACATAAAAGAGTGCAAAATACGGCAAAAAGGTAAATCTACAGCGTGTCCTGCTCCTTAACACCCAATGGATTTCTGCTCAAAAAGTGGTGGATGGGGGGTGACAAGGTTGAAACACTTGATATACATGCATAATCAGGAGCATTGCTGTTATTAGAACCATAACATATAGAAATCAACAAATTAAAAACAACATATTAGGTGAGATTAGCGGATGGGGATTCAAAGCAAGCAATGGGATATGTTTTCATTCAGTGTATAATGAAACTCAGAAGTGATACCAAGAGTGTGTATGGTCTTGAACAGGAATTAGAAAAAATGGGGGAAAAAAAGACATCTGCAGCTCCCCATCATGCCCCCTCAAGGACACTTCAAGAGCTGTAGCACCCTGAAAGCTTGGAGATTTCTCTGCGGTTGTGCTGGGGTCTTGGTTCTGGTTTTACTCTTCTTCTGAGGTCTGCTATTGGCCCCGCAGGCAGTCAGTTAGCTTTTGAGCTAGATGGGGTAGTAAGCCCATTCTGAAGTCCTCCACCATGATAAGGCTTTGCAATAGAGGCCTGGTGGAATGAGAGCCCTTTCTGAACAGCAGGGAGGAGCTGGAATGGAGGAAGTTCAGGATGTCTAAATATGAGAAAGAGTATGAAAGGTGACTTCTCTGACTTTAGCAGGTGGTCTTAGCTAATACTACTTTTTGACTAACCTGTCAGTTCTTTTTCAGCCCAAAGGTAATTAGGGGAACTCACAGCTGCTGAGCAGGATGGACTAAAGGAAAGTTCTGAAAGGAAATCTTCTCCCTTATCCTGGAAAACAGATGTTCTTTCTTCCAGTTCAGCACTTAATGGGATGAAACAAACCAGAGCCCTCTGGTTCACAGAGAAAGACTTTTTCTTTCCACCATGTGTAGGGTTTTGATTTGGATCATCTTAATGATGTGAAAATTTGCCTACTTGCATAGTGTCTGGAGTTTGACACTGGCTGCTTGCTCCCCACTTGCTCTCTCTCCTAGTTTCTTCCACCCTACAGATTCTCTAAAGTTAACATGCCTGGTAACTTGCAGGCAAGGAGCAGTTTTCTTCCCTTCCTTTTCCTTTCTAAACCAAAGTAAGCATATGAGTTTCTTTTCTGCCCCCTGCAAATCCTCCCTCTTTAACAGGACATGATTTCCAGTACTTGTGTAACGAAATTGACTAAATAGTTCCTCCAGCTGTTGAACTTGGAAATAAAACTTCTCTTTGTATGTTCAGTTGCTGTCTGCTCAGCTCGTATTTTCCTTACGTGGCTTCCACAGACACTCGTTATAAAGAGGAAAATGCGAACAGAAGCTGTTTTTTGGCTTTAACTGAATGAAGAAATCTGTTTAGCTGAAAAGTTACGTTGTTCTGCAGGAAATTTATGTTGCTTCTAGTAAGAACAATGTTTGAAAAGCACTGTTTTAGATAATTTTAGATGACTTCTGAAGATTACAACTTTAGGTGAAAAATCAATGTAAGGAAGTTTAAAAAAATTTGTTCTATTTTCTTTAAATTCTTTCACTGTAGTAAGGTAAGGAGAGATAAACATGAACACTGTATTGACTGTTGTGTCTCCACACAGCATGTTCTGCAGACAGTATAATTTGTGGCTGAATATTACAAGAGATTCTTTATTAAATTTAGCAGATTTCTAGCTATGAAATACTCCTGAATGTTTCATGTATCTGTACAGTATTTGACTGGAATTCAGTGTTAAATACTGTACAGTTCCTTGTTACACTACTGAAATCTAACAAAAGATGTTCTACGTTAGGATTTTTTTTTTCATCTTTCTTTTTTCTTTTTTTTTCTCTTTGAGCACCGAAAGGAGTAACCTATCGAGCTTTTGCTGGAGGATGTTATAAATGAAAATTTAGTAACTATTCCATCAACTTTGTAAGCTGGGCTAAGTGATGTGTGCAGGGTAGTGAATACTTAAGAAAGCATGATTTGAAATTTGTTGAGATCTTCCATCTTCATTTGCTCCAATTTCAATAAATATTTATTACCTATTATCACTGTGAATTTAATATAGTACTAGATATTCTGAAGTCTTGGAACAGAAGAGTTAGAAACACTTGACCAAGTAAATTTGCCTTTTCATTCATGAATGTTGCTATAAAGCACAAATAAGTCATTTCATTCTTTTTTTTAATCAGAGTAAAAATGAGATCTTTCCCGTTACAGCAAGTGTAATTCTTGAAATCTATATCCAACATTATCACTGCCCCAATTTTCTAGTTAGAAAATAAATCATTGCATTAATCATTAATGCTGCAATACCACATTGTTTTTCTTCCCCTTTAAAATAGCATCATTGTGATTGTGTAGATTTTGTCACACATTTTGTGTTCTGTGTAGTCTTAAAGAGACAATCTTCATTATTTGTTTTAAAATCTGAGAGAGCAGTTTTTTACTTTGCAAGAAATTTAAACACTGCATGTAAATGGCAAAAAAAGGTTTCTCAATCAAAGGCTGTGTGAAAACATATGTATAGTAGTTTTCTGGTGCAGTCTAAGTTAGACGCGGAATTTTTTAACAGCTGTGTTCAGTGTATGCTGCTAAAGGGTCAGAGTTGCTGTGAGAAGAGCTGTGCTCTATGCTAGCCTCTGTTGAAGACTGGGAAGAGCAAAAAAAGGATTGAATTTGGAGAATATGGCATAGCTACAGAGAAGCAAAACATACAGTTTTCAGTCAAGGTGCCTAGCTAACAAAGAACTGCTCTGTTTTTCACGACTCAGATTTTATTTATTTTATTTCTTGAATTGAGCAAATAAAATCATGTGAGACAGAAATGCAATATGAATAAAATAAGAATAAAGTATAATTAAATGTAAATCTCCTAGTATTGGTCTGAAGTATCCGTTTTTATTTTACTACTGATAGTTTATCCTACAAATAATACAATGTTTTTCTGTTTTAAGGCATTTTTCACTTCAAATGTAATTTATGAGTAAAAATTTTACTTCAGCATCAGTTTGTTGAAAAAAAAGCTTCCGTGTTTTATTGTCGTATGAAAGTATCAAGAGCAAATTTGAAAGTCTTGAATGTGTTCTTTGTTATTAAGAGGTATTGCTCTCCATTTATGCTGCAAAAGCTTTAATCTGTGAGCACACATCACTTAACCAATTACAAAGAGAGATAAAGGAATCTATAAATTTTGCATTTACAAGATCCTGCAACAAAGGCATTGTAAGTTACTCTTTCTGGGCACCGCAGGTTCAAGCAGCACTGATGTTAAAGAAAACCGCAACATGGACAACGTTCCCCCCAAGGATGGCAGTGCACAAGGCACCGGGGAGGGGGCTCAGCTCTCCAATGGTGGCAGCAGCAGCAGCAGCAGCAGCAGAAAGCGGCCTTTGGAGGAAGGCAACAATGGCCACTCCAAATTTCGCCCTAAGAAGAGGAAGAAAACACCAGGTCCTGTCTTGCCAAAGAATGCCCTGATGCAACTTAATGAGATCAAACCTGGTTTACAGTATAAGCTGCTGTCCCAGACGGGGCCAGTTCATGCCCCAATGTTTGTGATGGCTGTTGAGGTTAACGGACAGGTGTTTGAGGGCTCTGGCCCCACAAAGAAGAAAGCCAAGCTCCACGCTGCTGAGAAAGCTCTGCGGTCATTTGTCCAGTTCCCAAATGCATCAGAAGCACACCTGGCCATGGGGAGGACTCTCTCTGTCAACACGGACTTCACCTCTGACCAGGCAGACTTTCCTGACACACTTTTCAATGGATTTGAAACTCCAGTTCCTTCTGATGCTTCCTTTTACCTAGGGTCCAATGGGGATGGCTCCTTTGGCGCCAGCAGGGAGTATGGTCTGCCATCAGCTGCTGTGGCAAGTAGCCTTACTCAGTTGCCTCTGCCTGCATCATTGCCATACCCGACCGCGAGTGGGAAGAATCCTGTAATGATCCTGAATGAGCTCCGGCCAGGCCTGAAGTATGAGTTTCTCTCAGAGAGCGGGGAGAGCCATGCCAAAAACTTTGTCATGGCTGTCGCTGTGGATGGGCAAACATTTGAAGGATCGGGAAGGAATAAAAAGCTTGCGAAAGCTCGGGCTGCTCAGTCAGCCCTGGCATCCTTGTTTAACATGCAGCTGGACCAGACTCCATCTCGACAGCCCATTCCTAGTGAGGGGCTCCAGTTACATTTGCCACAGGTGAGAAATCCTTTGATGTTTGCCAGCACATTTAGATGATTACCGAAAATAGCCAAGATGAATTGTTTTGAATCAGCTTCAACATTTCTGCTTATTCTGCTTGTGTGGATGAGAGTGTGTATGTGTGCATGTTTGTGTGGACATACACGTATTTGTAAATACGCACACTACATTAGTTGATCCATTTGTGGCTTCCGACAATTGTGTGCAACATTCCTATTCTTTTGGATGGAGATGAGGTTTTGTTGCTAATGCTTTCAGCCTTTATCATCCCACCTAATAGGGCACAAAGCACAGCTTGACAGCAGTTTACATTACTGTTTGCACTGAGCAAAGATTGAGCCATAGTTTACTTGTCTCAGGCAGCCGGTGGAGTTCAAGTCAGCATTAATGCTTCAGGTGGTATTGCTATCTGACACAGTCATATTTACCAGAGCAGAAGATTATCTTCTGCAAAGTGAAGTTGTTGATGTTAGCAGAGTTGAATCATAGAAGTCAAGGACAGGTCAGATGAGGCTAACGAAGCCATCACTCATTTCCAGGGTCTGAATGAAAGTCAGACCGGCAACACTCCTGTCCATAATCTGTAGTTAAATAACTGACATCTTAAAGATTGTGCTCTAATAAAATTAATTAATGACTATATGCAAATTACTTAGGCAAATAAATGTGGATGAAAATTAATTTAAATCAAATAAATAAATGTATTATGTAAGCAGCTGGGATAAATCTGAGAAGCCTGGATTTCTCTCTGCCATTCTTGCTACTTTCTTGCCAGCTCAGGTGTTTGTATCAATGCACAAGTAGGGAAGGTAACAAACATACCAGACAGAGACCAAAAAATACAAAGAAGTTGGAATGGCATAATTGTTACATTCTTAATGATGAAAAATTCTCACTTGTTTGCTTTTGCTTTACTCCTGTATAAGTGCAGTAATAATTAACACCCTCTTTCTATTACACCGATACGGTCTTTTTAAGGATATTATCTGCCTGCCTAAATTCATATACTTTCCTGTGAATTCCTTGCAATTTTCTGTTTGTTTTAAAGATAGTTTCAAGTCATTGGCCTTTGTTATCTTTAAAATATCATTTTAAATTTCATTTAAAATATTGTATTAGTTTGATTCAACATTATTCAATAATGTCGAGTTAAAAGAGTATAAATATATTTAAGTGTGTTGTTTCCTGTAGTTTCATGGACAATATGCGTTTTAAGAAATTCCTAAATGCTCTCTCTCAATTTTTTTAAATAATCTTGTACAGTATTGCATTATTGATGAATGTTTCCTCCTTTTTGAAATCTAAGGTTATGCTGTTGCAAGTAGTTGTGATTTCTTTAGCTATTAAAGACTGCTTTTAAAACAGAGCTTTTATAGGTGTATTTGGCATCAGACACCAAAAATTTTCACTGCCATGAATCATTAAAATGGTTAAAATTTGAACTGCAATAGGAAGGAGAACAGAATAAGAAGTGATATGTACCAGAATTGTTCAGGGCAACTTGTAAGTCCAAAGTGAGGATAAATCATTATATTCCCTCTCAGCTCATTCTTTCGTTGTTCCATGGGCTTAAAGATGTTTGTCTGGCAGATGTATAACAAATTAGTAAGGGACTTTAATGGACCGTGTGACAATGCTAGGTACTTCTGATTTTCTTGCTTTGTGAGGTTTTGTCCTGCATTCTTAGTCCTGTGAACCACTGTTTGTTGCCTCAGAGTGCCGTGTCACAGGTGGGCTGTTGCTGTAGATAGGTTGTGCATGATATGCAGAAATTTTGTTGCGTTCATTTGCCCTGATGGGGCATTAGAGACCAGCACTATGAGTTTAAATAACAAAGAAAACATGCAAACAATTTACAACTCCCAGCTGTCATAAACTGACCTTGATACCCATATTGTGTACACCAAATCATAACTTAGGACCAGCTTACATTTTACCTGTCTTACTGCACCCCCATAAAGGCTGCTCCAGTATGAAACAGAGATCTGTAGTGTCTATAGGTGTAATTTGGATTATGCAGGCTGCTGGTGGTCTGTCGTATGGACCCCATTCAAAGCCAGTTATTGATTTTGAGTCTTTTGATCAGTTTATAATTAGGACATTGTTGACTTCCTACATGTCATTGTGTTTTATTATCTTTTATTTATAATTGACTGTGAAGTTACTGGAATTAAATCATGGTCTGGTACATTATAGAGAATAATCAAGGATTTAAGCTTTTGTGATTTTTTAGGAGCTGGTGTTAGATCATAGAATCATAGAATCATAGAATGGCCTGGGTTGCAAAGGACCACAATGCTCATACTGTTCCAACTCCCTGCTATGTGCAGGGTCACCAGCCATCAGACCAGGCTGCCCAGAGCATCCAGCCTGCCCTTGAATGCCTCCAGGGATGGGGCATCCACAGCCTCCTTTGGCAACCTGTTCCAGTGCCTCACCACCCTCTGGGTGAAAAACTTCCTCCTAATATCCAACCTAAACCTCCCCTGTCTCAGTTTAAAACCATTCCCCCTTATCCTATCACTATGCACTCTTGTAAGCAGCTGTTCCCCCTCCTGTCTACTATATGCTCCCTTCAAATATTGGAAGGCCACAGTGAGGTCCTACTTCATTTATGGGATTTGTTGTTTGTTTTTTAACAATGATTGCTCTTCTGGGGTTAGTATACATAACGATGTTAAATTTGGATATTGTCTTGAAATCATAAACATTGGAGAGTACAGGAGCAATGTAAATGAAGGTGGGATTTGTACTAATTTGTAGACAAAATAAAATGCTGATAATGGTGATTGTGTGAGAAAATTTGCATGTCAGTAGTTACACACCTTCTGGTAGCTGCAAGCTCTTTGGAGGAAATCAAAAGTGGAAATACACATGTAAGCTATCAAAGATTGGTGGAGGTCATTATATTAGACATCAGCTCATAAAATAGATATGGGTATTGCTTTCTGGTCAGCACAGTGGATTAATCAATGTCCTGTGATTTATAACATTTACAGCCAGTCTGTGCTAAGCAATCTTGTTTACAGTTTGACCTTTTGTGAGTGGTGAAAGACTTGCCTGCAATAAGGAAAATATCTTTGTTCAAAAAATGACTTAAACCCGGCAAGAATTTTGTCATGTACCATGGAGCAGATGAAGGTAATCTGCTGAAAATCTGGCCTTGGGCTTTTATTACCTTCTCAGCTAGTGTGTTAAAGTGGGAGAAATTGTCAGTCCTGCATGGTAGGGTTTTACCTCTCCAACACAAAGAAAATATTTTTATGGCCAGTTAGATTTTGTAAACTGATAGCCATCTTGCTTTACCTCCCATTCCACTCAAGCAAGATATCCTGTATTGTGCCATAAGTCACAGCAAATACTAAAGGGCCATAAAATGTGGACTTCGGGTTTTATTCTTTTCTGCAAATGACAGCTGTATCTTTCAACATATTCAGGTTAATATCATCAGAACATTTAAGAGTCTGATTTGGCATTAAATCAGACATGTTGGACCTGTGGCCCAGCACAGCTTGCAGTGTGACAACTCACACTATAAAGGCAGCAACCCTGTCAAGTGACCCAACCTGGCCCCACGTGTGCATTCAGCAACAACCAGACACTGGTGTGCATTTTGATACATTGGCTAAACACAGTCAGTGTTTCTGTGAACAGAGAAAAATGTGAGCGTTGATTTCTGCTTTGATATGGGAATTTGAGGATAGGTTTCAGGATTGCAAAAAAATCATAAATTTATGTTTGCAACTACATTTTCTGTCAGTATAAATACATTAAGTTAAAATTTTCAGGTGGAATCTATAGAGATGCAATCGTATATTCAACTAAAAAAATTTGTATGTCTCCTTAACAGACTTCCATAAGACCTCTCTTAATAGCGAAAATGCTTCTCACTTCACAATCACACCTTATTCATGTCATTGCTTTTTGGCAGTACATACATTTGTGATTAATTGACAAGGATGAAGCACAGAATGAGTAATATTTCATCAGAAATCTCTGATGGACCCGTTGATACCTCACTAAGAATTGCAACCACTGCCACTGAACTAGACTCATGTTAGTTTCACAAAAACAGTCAAACATCCCACATGGTTTTTTTTGTTTGTTTTATTGCTTTCTTTTTTAAAAAGTTTCAATAAAAATATTAAGAATTAAAATGTTTTGTTACTTATGTATTAAATATATTGTATGAGGGCTGCTTTGAAAGTAATGCCTCCTGTTTTATTATGTTTGCTTATGATCGTAGAATCCTTAGAGTTGGAAGGGACCTCTGAGGGCCATCCAGTCCAACACCCCTGCAATGCACAGGAACACCACAGCTAGATCAGGGTTCCCAGGGCCTGATCCAGCCTTGCGTTGGAAGTCTCCAAGGATGGGGCATCAACCACAATGCTGAGCAACCTGTTCCAGTGCCTCACCACCCTTAGCATAAAAGATTTTCTCCTTATATCTACCCATCCTGAGCTTGAAGCCATTTTCCCTTCTTCTATCACCACAGACCCTGCTGAAGAGTCTGTCCCTTTTTGTCCTGTAGCTCCCCTTTTGATACCGATAGGCCACATAACTTGACTGGTCACTTTGCAGCCTTCTCTTCTCCAGGTTGAACAGCCCTAGCTCTCTCTGCCTGTCCTCAATGGAGAACTGTTCCATTCCATGGATCTTTTTTGTGGCCCTTCTCTGAACACAGTCCACCAGGTCTGTGTCTCTCCTGTACTGAGGAATCTCTATCTGGGTGCAGTACTCCAGGTGAGGTCTCCCCAGCACAGAGCAGAGGGGTAGGATCACCTCTCTCACCCTGCTGGTTGCACAGCTTTTGATGCAGCCCACCACTTGTCACCATCCCCTTCCAGACATTAGGCCATTGACCACCACTCTCTTGGTACAATCTTGCAACCAGTCCTTCATCCATCGAACAGTACACCCATCAGATCTCTGTCTTTCCAACTTGGAGAGAAGGATGTTGTGGGGTACCACATCAAAGGCCTTACTAAAGTCAAGATAGATGACATCAGTGCTCTTCCCTTGTCTGTTGATGCAGTGACAGCATCATAGAAAGCCATTAAGTTGGTCAAGCAGGATTTGCCTTTGGTGAAGCCATGCTGGTTCTTTGATATCACCTTGCTGCCTTCCATGTGCCTTAGCATGGCTTCCAGGAGGATCAGTTCTATAATCTTCCCTGGCACAGAGATGAGACTGACAGGTTGAAAGTTCCCAGGTTCATTCTTTTTACCTGTTTAAAATTTCGGTGTGATGTTGCCCTTTTTCCAGTCACCACAGATTTCACCTGATTGCCACATCTTTTCAGATATCACTGAGAGTGGCTTTGTGGCTACATCAGCCAATTCCCCCACAGCTCTGGGATGAATCACATTGGGACCCATAGACTTGTGGATGTTCAAGTTCCTCAGGTGGTTACGAACCTGATCTTCACTTACAGTGGGAGGGATGTTGCTTCCCTAGTTCCCTGCTACTAAACCAGTTGTTTGAAGGCTGTGTGGCAAGCAGTTATCAGAGTTATCAGAGGCAAAAAAGTTAAGTACCTCAGCCTTGTTTGTTGTTACCAGATATCAGAGTCAGGTGGTGGTGGTATGGCAGTGGAGGTTCAAGCTGTGAGAAGCACTCGCAAGCCAATAGCTGAGGCTCAGGCAAGAGTCTCACTAAACAGTATTTTATTTTGCAATTGCAGTGGTAGGTGTTCTGCAAGCAGAAGTGCCTGCTGTAAAGAAACAAAGCTCTTACATCTCTTAGTTCCCAGTACTGTGTCCCTCCCCTACTTCCAGGGTCACATTCTCTCCTGTTTGCATATCATGTGTGCATCCCCTTTGCAGGTAGTTGAAAAAAGTCCATCTTTCTTTGTCTCACCAAGTAAGCAAAATCCACAAATTAGTTGCCTCTCCAGTTTATCCTGCCATGTATCTGCCAGATAAGTTTATTTCTTCTTGTGCAGTTCTGGATACAGATGTATGTCTTAAAGATGTTACCTTTGGTTGCCCCCACCTCCTTTCCAGCAATCTTCCCAAGGCAGGAGAGTTAAAATGCCAGCCAGATTTTCCTGTTAGCTCTAAAAATGACATTCTTTCACAGTCTTCTATTTCTCAAGAATACCCGTTTCCCACAAACACTTACCTGGTATCATGGATTCCGAGATATGTCCCTTTTGTATCACATTCTATTTCTTCTGCAAAAACAATATGTTGTCTCCCAGAATTCCCCCTTACTTTTATTTAAACAACTACTGCTTTTTGCAATTTCTATTAAGGCATGGTCCTGTAGGTGACTTCCAGCCTTCACAGTTCTCTTCTGTGCAGAGGTTGTCCTGATCACCATTTTCTACTTCTTCCCATAACATCAACATCTTTACAGTGGTGGCCCTACTGACATCTGCTTAGATAGGGTGGTTTCAATTAGCCACTGGACCAATTCTTTAACACAGCGGATAGTTCAGTAGCCAACTGCTGTTAAAACCCCTGCTACCACAAAGATATAAGTATGGATACTACTACTCCTTTCCATTTACCAAACAAAGACTCTAATCATCCAGTAAGTGAAGTGTCTATTCCTGAATTCTCTGCCAGTTCATTGGTCAGAGTGGTTTGTCCTTGCAGTGTCCTAATTATGATGCCATTTGAAGCAGTATTGTTAGGAATAAAGGAGCAACACTGACCGCCTGGCATCACACAACCTCCTCCCTTTTCAGCCAACATCGTGTCTAATGCTATCCTATTTTCCCATGCTATCCTACTAGTGGCATCTAATTGTTCTGCAATCTTTTATAGCATCTCTAGTATAATTTATGGACCTCTGCAAATTGTAGTAAATATAATTGATCCAATCTACATTATTATTAATAGTTATCTACCAAAACAGTCTCTGGCGTCTGAGAGAAGATACAGAGGAAGGCAACCCAAATATAGTTTTGGAGGAAAATATTTTTAGTTTCAAACTGGGGAACAGTTTGGTAATCCAAAAAGCAGCTCATAAGGTGAGACTCCCAAATCTTTCTGTGAAGTAGTTCTAATTCATTTTCATTTCTGACTGCAAGACATCTTCTTTAGTCTTCTCATCAGAGACGGTTTCCTTTTTGGTGCCCTTTTACGTGCTCTATGGCAATTTTCTCAGATAATAACAAGCTTTCCAAAACCTGTCTAATCAATGCCTCATGGGACAATTCCTTCCTTCTATTGTTTATTAAACCCCTTTCTTCCCAATTTTTTTTTTTTTTTTTGAATTTTTGACTCCATACACATATCACAAGTCTGTATATATAGTTCACTGTTTTCTTTGTAACACTTTTAGTGCTTGATTTTATGCATGTAATTTACAAGTTAGAGCTGATCAATTAGCAGAGAAACATCCCATTTCCTCAGCTTTTCCTTCTGTCTCTTTGATGATGGTGAAACCATTAGATCATCTTCCATGTACCACTCTAGAGGATCCATCTATAAACTATATTTCTGCTTTATTTAAGGGTATATCTTGTAAGTCTGACCTGGTCTTTGATAATTGATTAAATCTAAACAATTATGTTCCACATAATGTTCACTGTATCTTCAGTTCCCTTCAAATAGAAGGAGGCAGGATTCAGGATAGACAGTGACTATAGCTAAATCATCTCTTTCTATTAATATAGCTTCATATTTCAGTATCCTGGAGTCTGTTAGCTGCCTTTCTGCCTTCTGAGTAAAGCATATTCTTTACTTGGTGAGGGTCAGTTGTCCTCCAAAGGTGAATTTCCTGCTTTCTTCCAACAATAAGGCAGTTGTTGCCAGTGCCTGAAAAAATTCTGGCAATCCACAGAATACAGAATCTAGTAATTTAGACAGGTATGCTGTAAGTTTTCTTTTGTCTTCCCATTTTTGGGTTAAGACTTCTAAAGCAGCACCCTCACTTACTTGTATAGAGATGAAACGGTTTATCCACGGCAAGAAGAGCCAAACTGGTGTGTCACCAAATCTTGTTTCAGTTTTTCCACCATTTCTTTTGCTTCTTCTGTCTAATTTAATACATTGGATTCTTCTTCCAATAGTTTGAGATGAGATTTCTGTATTTTTTAAGCATATGTTTTTATCCCCAGTCTACAATACCCAGTTAAACTTGGAATTTTCTTAATTTCTTGATTGTTCTGGGAAGATGAAGTCACACAGTCTCCTGAATTCTTTCAGAGTTTATTCTCCATTTGCAAGTTTTCCTTCAGGTGAAAGAGATAAGTCTTCCTCATTTTGACATAGGTATGCTATACAAGTGCCTCTCTTAAATTTGCAAATATCTTGTTTTTAAAAAAGAAGAAAATTTAACCACTGTTGAAAAGAAATTAATTCTTAGTACGTAGTAGTCAGGTAGTTCATTTGACTGTTATAAAAGGTTTCCATGTCGATTTGAAGACGCTGGGTTTTACACTTAATTCTTCCTGTCAAGTCCAGTGTTGATGCTGAAATGATGTATTTTGAGGTTTGAGCATGAAAATATTGACCCATCTGTTTATTCAGTTGTGCTAAGCCACAGGTGTTCATAATATCATGAACATTAGATACTCTGATGCTTGTCTTAGGGCTGTGTGACCCTGTTTTAATAGGTGTGAAGCACACAGAACTCTACGACATATAAAGAGTGTTCAATGTGCCTGAAATTTACACCTGGCCCTCCTTGATGTACTGAAGATGCATCAAAATCTTTGCCTAGTTTCAAAACGAACAATGCAAGCAGTTTTAATCTGTTGTGTTGAATCATTCAAAAATGCAGATCTTTATAACATAGCACTGTTGTATTTTTTTAAAGGTTGTTTAATTTTCTAATGTGCATTTCTGTGTGATCCAACAGGTTTTAGCTGATGCTGTTGCACGCTTGGTTGTAGATAAATTCTGTGATTTGACAGAAAATTTCACTTCTCCACATGCACGTAGAAAAGTCCTTGCTGGAATTGTCATGACAACAGGTAAAAATAAAAAGTACTGTTTTAACTGTCTAAACACCAAAGCTTTGTTTGTATTCTAAGAAATTATGTTCTTTTTTTTTCAGTCAACCAATATTGAAATATATGCTTACTGTTTAATCTGGAATGTGCACTAAATATAGGCTAAGGATGATTAGTCTGTTTCCTGAGTTGCTGTCTTCTGTGTAGTTGAGGTTTCTGAGGTAACTCACAGTCCACAAAATAGATCTCTTTAAAGTACTTTTTAGAATGAAGTATGAAATTTTTTGAAAGTAAGTCTAAAATACATTTCATCACATTGTTCACACAGGTGGCATCCTTGTTTTTGGCGTGTTATGTAGGATATTATGCTTGCTTTCCAAGTGTTTAAAATTTTGCACTTTGTTTAGTAAGTTGTGCTGCATTTCATTCTAAGTGTTTTGTGTCTCAGTTGTTCTGGTGAAAAAGAAAGCACCTGGTGTTTCAGCAGCTGCTTCTAGTATGCAAGTGCAAACAGTAGTATTGTCACAGGTCTCTGATTGCTGTCCTGAGATACGTGCTCAGCCTGAACACTGAGAACAGGGAATCTTTATCCTAAACTGAATTCTGTCTCTGAATTTTCCTTAGGTTAAGGTTTATCTTTTTCTTCAGTACAACTGATCCTTTGCAGTGGGCACTTCATTTTGTGCGTGTCATGAGGTGCCTCCACTAAGCTGTACAAATCAGACCAAGATCAGTGATAAATGTACAGTGGCATTTCTTTTGGATGGCCTTTATGCAGCTATGTGCTGTGAGTTTTTTTCTTGTTCTTTTGGGTTGCATGTTAGCTTCTATTTTCTTGGGTGGTGCTAGCCCTTTCCTTACGTGGAGATATTTGTAGGGGCCTTCCAATTTCATTTATGAGTTCTGAGGGTGCTAGTTAAGGTAGAAAGTAATGCATACTCTAGAACAAGATTGTGACCTGGGAACCTTTGGCCCAAGCCATGTTGCCAGATATCTCTGGTTGGGTTGACCCTGTCCAGCAGCCAAACACCCACACAGCTTCTCACTCAGTGCCCTCTTTCAGGGAGTGGAGAGAAGACGGAAGGAAGGTGAGAAGTCTTGAGGAAGTTTAATAGGGAAGCAAAAGCTGCTTGTAGAAGCAAAGCAAGATAAGGAAGCCACAAGATCACAAAGTAATTCTGCAACGTTGACTGTTGTAGAAGTTTTACAAGTATGACTGAAGTAAACGTTATAGTTTTGACGTTTCTTTACAACGTATAGTTTCTTTACAAGGAGAGTGGTTAGGCCCTGGAACGGGCTGCCCAGGGAGGTTGTGGATGCCCCGTCCTTGGATGTGTTCAAGGCCAGGTTGGACAGGGTCCTGGGCAACCTGATCTGAATGTGTATGTTTGGTGGCCCTGCTAGGCAGGGGGGTTGGAACTACATGATCCTTGAGGTCCCTTCCAACCCAGGTGATTCTGTGATTCTGTGATTCTGTGACCATTTCTGACCAACTGCACCACTGAGCTCGCAGATGAAACCAAGCTGAGTGATACACGCTAGAGGGAAGAGATGCTATCTAGAGGGAAGAGATGCTATCTAAAGGGAAGGGATGCTAAGTAGACAGACCTGCACAGGCTTGAGGGGTGAGTCTGTGCCAACCCCCTGCACTTCAAGGCCAAGTGCAAGGTCCTGCATTGGGTTTGGGGCAATCCCAAGCACAAATACAGACTGGGTGGAGAATAGCTTGAGAGAGCAGCCCTGAGGAGAAGGATCTGGGGGTTGTCCATTGTTGAAAGCGTCAACAGGAGCCAGTAATGTGCACTTGCAGCCCAGAAGGCCAACCATATGCTAGTTTGCATCAAGAGAAGCGTGACAGGCTGGAGAGCTGGGCAGAAAAAAAATGGATGAGGTTTAACAAAAGCAAGTGTGGAGTCTTGCATCTGGGGAGGAATAATTGCATGCACCAGTACAGGTTGGGGGATGAGCTGCTGGAGAGGAGCTCTGCGGAGAGGGACCTGGGTGTCCTGGTGGATGACAGGTTGCCATGAGCCAGCAGTGTGCCCTTGTGGCCAAGAGGGCCAATGGCATCCTTGGGGTACATTAAAAAGAGTGTGGCCAGCAGGTCGAGGGAGGTGATCCTCCCCCTCTATTCTGCCCTGGTAAGGCCTCATCTGGAGCACTGCGTCCAGTTCTGGGCTCCCCAGTACAAAAAAGACAGGGATCTCTTGGAAAGAGTCCAGCAGAGGGCCACAAAGATGGTGAGGGGCCTGGAGCATCTCTCCTGTGGAGAAAGGCTGAGTGAACTGGGTCTGTTCAGCCTTGAGAAAAGAAGACTGAGAGGGGACCTGATCCAGGTCTATAAATATCTAAGGTGTGGGGGGCAGAATGGCGAGGCCGGACTCTTTTGAGTGGTGAGTGGAGACAGGACAAGGGGAAACGGCTGGAAACTGCAGCATAGGAAGTTCCGCACAAACATGCGCAAGAACTTCTGTACAGTGAGGTGACGGAGCACTGGAACAGGCTGCCCAGGGAGGTGGTGGAGTCTCCTTCTCTGGAGATGTTCAGGACCTGCCTGGATGCCGACCTGTGCAACCTGCTGTAGGGAACCTGCTTTGGCAGGGGGGTTGGACTCGATGATCTCTGGAGGTCCCTTCCAACCCCTACAATTCTGTGATTCTGTGATATTGTGATTCTGTGACCAGCAGGACGAAGGAGGTGATTTTGCCCCTCTGCTCTGCTCTCGTGAGACCTCACCCAGAGTATTGCATCCAGTTCTGGAGCCTGCAACACAAGAAACACATGGAGCTGTTGGAGCAGGTCCAGAGGAGGGCCACAATGATGATCAGAGAGCTGGAGCTCTAACTTCAGAGGGCTGAAGCCTAACGTTTCTGATATCCCTAGTTTCCATGAAATATTATATGATCCATAAAAGCAAGTACTGTGTTTTTAACACAGATCCTTAAATGTGAGCTTGTAAAAAATTCTGCTGTCTTCTGGATGATTTAAAGTGCTGACTGTGAATGTCTTCCATCACTGATGACTTTGTATTCCAGGTAGATTCCAAGTGTGTGAGGAGTTAAGACACCAAAATATTTCCGGAAGCCCATCTGATCAGAAACTGATAGAGAGGAAAAGGATCTGGGGAGACCTTATAGCAGACTTTCAGTCCTTAAAAGGAGGTCTACGGGATAACTGGGGAGGATTCTTTATCAGGGAGTGTAATGATAGGACAAGAGGTAACAGTTTTAATCAATAAAAGTGAGGTTTAGATTGGATATAAGGAAGAAATTCTTCACAATGAAGTTGGTGTGGCACTGGAACAGTCTACATAGAAGTTATGGGAGTACTCAAGGCCGGACTGGATGAGGCTTTGGGCAACCTGGGCTGGTGGGTGGTGCCCCACAGGTAGAGGTCCAACCCCATGGCAATCGTTGGGACTGGGTGAACTTTAAGGTCCATTCCAAGCCAAGTCATTCTGATTCTGTGGTTCTGTGATTCATAATGATGACCAATCATGAAGAACATGCTGTAGAACTGTATTTCTTTTTTCTTTTTTTTTTTTTAAATTTCATCCTATTTATCAAGGTTGTATTGTATCTGTGTCCAAGATTACCAGAAAAGACATTTGCCGAAAGAATCCAGACTTAGTTAACATGTAAATGCATTTTGATTAACTGAAGAACTCGCTTTACATGGAGTTAGAAACAGGCTTCTCATAAGTAAGTTCAGTATCTGGAGGATGCCTGGACTCCCTTGCACAGCTGTTCTGTGTTGGATCAGTGAACTGGTTTCCCACTTTTCCACCTGCAGTAGATAGGGCAGCTGGCCTCATCCATTTTTGTCAAGGCTGTACTTCAGTGAATATTTATTTCATAAGCAATGAGAGCTGGTAGGGCTATCCACTTTATGGTGTAATTTTCTTTATTTTGATGGATGTATGTAAGGTTCTGATCTATCTTTCTCAACTCTTAATGGAGCTGACTTTTTTTAAAATTTAATGACAAAGGTAGTTGTTTGTATAGAAAACACAGAAAATATTTTTAAATTCTGTTGTGCCAAATTATTTAACATCAGGGAATGCATCTCAAGAAGTCCTGTACTGCTGGTAAGTTCTGCAGTGGCTTAACACTCAAACTTCCTTCATTCTCTAGTTTTACCTTTCATGTTTCAATTTCTAACTTACCTGAACTCCAAAACTCTCAAGAACCTTACCTGAACTCTCAAGAACCGTAGGCCATACTGGATAAGTCTGTATAAACCTTTTGCTTTTAAGAAAGAATGAGAAAGAATCATAAGAATTTATTTTTTTTTATTTTAAAAAGGAACAGAGTAAAAAACCTTGTGTGAATTCTACAGGAAGTTCTCTTGCTAGGTTGTGATTTTAATTGTATCTTCTAAAATTTTGTTTTTCCAGGTACGGATGTGAAAGATGCTCTGGTAATAAGTGTTTCTACGGGAACAAAATGCATTAATGGTGAATATATGAGTGACCGTGGTCTTGCATTAAATGATTGCCATGCAGAAATTATATCCCGCCGGTGCCTGCTTAAATTTCTGTATACACAACTCGAGCTTTATCTAAGGTAAGCTTATGGGAAGATAAACTGGCTTCATTCAGTTGAAAAGCTGCCAAAAATGTATCTTTGAATAATTTCAGTGTGAAATACTTGTTCTAGATTGCCCCGCTGAAACAAACTGATGTGTAAAGTACCACTTGTTGCATTAGAATGTTTAACTGAGAACTCATGACCTTTACTCTAAAGTTTGACATGAACAGAGCCTGTATTTGGTTCATTGTCAATCCTGAGAAGGTAAACATATAAATCAAAGTCATCTCAAGTAGTCTACAGCGTGATGTTGTTTTGTTTTCTGAGAAGTCTCCAAACCCCACTGTGATAACATAAAGGACTCTCTATTTATCTTCTCCATTGACTTTTCATTTTGTAATAACTTGTTGGAGTTATACTGCAAAATTTCTAGACATCCTGTGTTTGTTTTTAATGCCTGTTAGGACTGAGCAGCCTACGTTGTTTATGTATTAACTTTCTTTTTGACTTAAGCTGTATTCTCTGTTTCAGCAATAAAGATGATCAGGAAAAATCCATTTTTATCAAATCAGAGCGAGGCGGTTTTAAACTGAAGGAGAATGTACAGTTCCATCTCTATATCAGCACGTCTCCTTGTGGAGATGCTAGAATTTTCTCACCACATGAAGCAGCACAAGAGGGTACGACAGCATAATATTATAGTATTGGTGTTTAAAGTATTATTTGAACATGTGGAAGTGACATGGTTGAAATTCAGGCATCTTCTTTCCTTTTAGTGCAGATGTGTATTAGTCAAAGATCTGAGCTGTTCTTACTGTATTGTAGAATTTAGATACAGGGTGATCATCCACATGGTCCACATACTGGCCTTCCAATATTTGAAGGGAGCTTATAAACAGGAGGGGGAACAGCTATTTATAAGGGTGGATAGTGTTAGAATAAGGGGGAATGGTTTTAAACTGAGACAAAGGAGGCCTAGGTTGGATATTAGGAGGAAGTTTTTCACCCAGAGGGTGGTGAGGCATTGGAACAGGTTGCCCGAGGAGGCTGTGGATGCCCCATCCCTGGAGGTATTCAAGGCCAGGCTGGATGTGGCTCTGGGCAGCCTGGTCTCTGGTTGGCGACCCTTCACATAGCAGGGGGTTGGAACTGATGAGCACTGTGCTCCTTTTCAACCTAGGCCATTCTGTGATTCTATGATTCTGTGGTCTTCAAGAAGCTGATTGCCAGCAAGGATAAGCCAGTGATTCAGCAAGCATTCTTACTAAACTAATATAGCCATCTCAGTGTTTCTATTTTTAAAGGTTGTTCTCAGTCCTGATCTGTTAATTGACTTCATTCTAATATTAAAATGCCCAAAACACTATTTTAGAAGTGCCTGCTGACCGTGTTTCCTAATGTAAAGCTTGGTTTTATTGCAGTTTTAGAAGACATTTTGCATGTCTTGCTGTAACTAAACTGTAAGGAATGATAGAAATTGTTATGCAGACTTTAATAGACTCATTTAATGCTCATTTAATGCTCTATGTAAAATTGAGAATGTTTCTTGGTTGATTGTAAGTAACTTTTGTCATTTAGATCAAGGGGACAGACATCCAAACCGCAAAGCAAGAGGACAGCTACGAACAAAAATAGAATCTGGGGAAGGGACGATCCCTGTGCGCTCTACTACCACCATCCAGACATGGGATGGAGTGTTGCAAGGAGAAAGGCTACTTACTATGTCATGCAGTGACAAGATAGCAAGGTGAGAGACTAAAGAACTGTTTTTTCTACTGTTGCCTTTTATTGCTGAGTAAGACAGGAGGGATGCATGGCAGCTATAATGAATGCGCAGGCTGTTGATTGCTTTCATTGCTTAGCTGTAGCATGTCTGCAATTCCAGTGATAAAGCTCTGATTCTTCACCAGCAGTTGGTGTCAGACCTCCTGCTAGCTTCAGAAGTGAGATGAAAACATTATGTGTAATTTCAGGTACTTCAAGTCATGACAGCTTTGTTTTGTATTTCTATCAAAGGAAAATATCAGAGGAATTCCTTTTCCCTCCTGTTCCCAACATAGCCTTAGCAAAAGGGTGTGATAAATATATTACTTTAGTTAAATTTGAATTAAATCTTCTGGTGGTGTACAGCCTTGTGTACCAATGGGACAACTTATGCATTCCGTGAACAGATTTAGATTTTTACTATTGTAATAGAGAGAGTATTTATAAAAGTATAAATATATATAAAGTATAAATAAAAAAACAAAGTATACTTTATACTTTATATATATAGTATATGTATATGCTTATGTATAAGTGTGTATATATGTGTCCAGTTAATTGACAGGCACTTTTAATTTCTAACTTCATAATTATTTAAATTTTAGTTTCAGTATTTTTACTGTAATTAAATATTTTGTTTCCAGTACGAGTCCTTTTATTTATATTTTATCCAGTACCTTCTTTATTGTCATTATTGAGAGCGAAATATTGAGAGACTGAAAGATTTTTTTTAAATTGGGAATGGACAGATGATATCCCACCAAATTGAGAAGTAGTATCCTTAATAAAAGTGTCAGAAATCTAGGAGAGCTGCTGGAAAATTGTAATCTTTTAAAAATGAGTCTGTTTGTGCAGACTCTTTTTTTTTTTGTGTGTGTGTGTGAAATAGATAGGAAATACCAAGTTTTTTTGGCTGAGTATATTTCAGTTGTTTTGTAAGTAAAATAGCTGTGCTGTTCTGTCTAGTCAAAGTTGATGCAAAATTTATTAAGTGTATTTTAACATTGAAAGGTATATTTGAACTAATTATGAACTGTGTACACCAAATAAAAAAAGTACAGGATGAATTTTAAGTAATTGCTTTTCTCCTCTAGTCTTTTCTCAAGTAATCATCCCCACTGAAGAAAGACATTTTACTTTAGTATGAATCCCTCCAACATTAATGATTAAGGCCTTTCACAAGCTAGGGCAGTAGGTTGTTGAGAAATAGTTCTACAAAAGTGACATTTAAATTTTTTTAATAATATTTTCAATAATTTGCAACACCGGTTTCCCAGCTTCATATCAATGGCTTCCTCTAACCATCCAATGTGGTATTCAAGCTGCATTCATTGACTTCTATTATCGCGTCATCATTGCTGTTAGTGAAAATAAAAAATGAAGGCAGTTATTGAGCTAGAACACATTTGACTATTTTGTTGATTTTGTGTGATGCAGAACAGAATCCATCTCTCGCTTGCGTAGCTAGCTGTCAACTGTCCTTGGGGCAAATGGGAATAATTTTGTTTGTGCCAGTGAAGGAAGCAAATAGAACCCTTTGACACAGAACAAAGACTGTATGACGGGTAAGGAGGCCCAAATTTTCATATTCTTTTTTTTCTTTACTTTTTTCTTTTTTACATTTCCCTGACACTTATGACCATGTTTTGTCCATTTAAATTTGAAAGAATGCATTGCTTTGTAGTTTCCAGCAGTCAGTACTCCAGAACGCCATCGCCCCGTGTGCTTCCACTGATGTTTCCCAAAGGTTCACAGTGCCGGCCTGGAAAACACGTGGTTAAGTACTGTGTGGAGGATTACATGGGCAATCCAGAGCAGGAAGACTCTTTCTGTATGAACAGCCCTCTCTGTGTGGATTATATGCATAAGCCAAGCTATTATTTTCAGCCTCCGAGTGCTTTGTTAACGTGTGCTTTCTAGCACCTAGCTAGAAGGGTAGGAAGGGTAGGAAGATCCGAGAAACCTGCAAAATTTTTGCTGAGCTTCTTTATCCTGCAAAGAAGTGCTAAAAAGTAGAATTTCTCCAGTGACTGCTGCTCATTACCATGATGGGCCAAGCCCACCATTAGTAATGGGTGAGATCTAATGCAAGAGTGGATGAGCATCCTGGGCTGACTGTACGTTGGCAGGCTTAGCCATCTCAAGCCAGGGCTTGTGTTGTGCCACGGGCTGAGGTAGCGCGTGTGAAACAGCTCTTGAATCTGCTGCTGTTCTCCAGCTAGCTCAGCTCACCTCATTCTTCCTTAGCTGGTGGCAGATACTCAGCATCCCTTTCTCTCCCTAAGTCACCTCCTTGGAAATCACTTTCTGCTTGTGTTGGGAAAGGCAGAAAAAAGAGAAAAAGTCAAGAGATTGATAGCTGTGCTTTAGGCAGAAAGGAAATGAGGGGTGCTAAACTCTAACCCTTAATGATTTCACCATGTAAAAAGCTGTGGAAAACAGCAACAGGCCTGTGTAGGTAAAACAATGTACTGTCATCTGGCTCAGGAGCATTTGAATGGGATTATCCCAGTGTCTTGGTGACATTTCAGAGCAACTTTATTCTATGACAGGAATACCAGTTTGGTGGCATGCATGCATTTGTTTTAAAAAAAGATCCCCAGCTTGTTTCATGCTACTTCATTATGCATATTTTTGTCCTTTTTGATGTTTTTTACCTACATTCTTTTGAAGCTTTTTGGCTTCAAATAAACAGTTATTTAATTTCTCACCAAACATTCAAATTGCTGTCTTGATAAGAAGACTTAAATTGCTTTTTTTACCCTATTTCCTTGCTAGGAAGGCTCTGGGATCACTTAAGAAGTGGTTTAATTGAGAAGTGGTTCGGTTGTGTAAAGGGGAAGTCATTGGTGCTCTTCTACCATGGAAGAGGGAAAAATATTACTTCTTTGCTGTGCAAGAACATCACATACCTACGTACTGACTTTGATTTCTGCTATTTACAATGTAAAATCCAAATGGAAGTTTGTAACTCTGTCTTTCTGTTTATTCCCTTGATGGCTTCTCCTTCTTGACCCCACCACCTAGGTGGGGACTGATGAGGTGGTACAAAAACAACTAGAAAATTCTCTGTGTGCTCACTAAAGGCTGTATGTTCAGCAGCTGCCTTTGGAGCCTTTTTTGAGTTTCTGAGTTATTCTAAATGGAAAGCTCCATGGCAGAGCTGGCGTGCTTTCTGAACAGCACTAAGAAGAACATTTCTTCTGAGCAGGTCTTAGTCCATGTGGCTGATTTGAATGCCTTGCTTTTGATATGTGATTGCTGTGTAATACCTAGATTAAAAACCTCAGAGAAAGAGGTAGGAAACCACCACCCAGTGTGTATCATCATGTAACCATGCAAACCAGTGACATGGGCTTAGTAGCATGCCACATATCCAAACAACACCAGAAACACTGGGACAAATCAGAGCTGTATGTGGCCAGCCTGGATGCTCAGCTGCAAGTGAAGTTAAATCTTATTGTCTGTAGTTGAAAATCTGACCTTGGGATGAGTAGAAAGATGCTTTTGAGAAGGGCTGCTGTCAAAGACTGTGGACTTGTGTTTATTGATGTAAATTGTGGTGACTACGCCACCTGAAGAAAAATACTGACTGCTGGACATGAAGATGTTGCTGCCTTTCCGTGGCTTAAGAAGGGAAGACTGATCATAGAGACCGAGTTAATCTCTTCAGAAAGCAAAGAGAAATCAGGTTTACACATGAGAGAAAGGATAGAGAGGAGAGAGGGGTTAGGTGAATGAAATCAGCTCTGCTTGTTCCATCTGCAGGGAACAGCATGTAAGTGGTGAATGTACAAGGGCTGCTCCAAAAATAATGCTTCCTATTTTATAATGTTGGCCCACGGTGTCAGAGGCAGATGGTGGTGATATGGCAGTAGATGTTGAACCTTCCCACCAATATTCTTTACATTTTGATGCTGTGTGACAGATGGCAGCAGAGGGGCATCTGACATGGAAGTGTATGTGAAACAAAGGTGTGCTATTAAATTCCTCCTCGAGGAAAAAATTGCACCCACTGACATTCATTAATGTTTGCTGAACGTTTATGAAGACAAACAGCAGATGTGAGCACAGTGGGGTGGTGAGTAGTGCATTTCAGCAGTAGCAACAGCAGGCCACTTCTGGTGCAGGTTCTGACACACATGGCATGCAGACTATTGTTCATGGCTGGTGCAAATGCATAGCTAATGATAGTGATTATGTTGAAAAATAGTGTTTTGTAGCTGAGAATGTGCTCTGTCAAGTAGTGTTATTGTGCTCTTTGTTGTAGTGTAGTTTCTGTGGAAATGATACCTGTAAATAAATTCAAGGCTATCAGCAATTAATTCAAACTCCTCAGCAGAACCATTGTCTTCGGAAAGTTTTTGTTCTTGGATCAATTTTCCAAACTGAGGAATAAAGAGAGCTGTGATTTTTACATGTTGCTTTTATTTACCTTTTTACGCTTAATTTTTTTTTTTAATAATTACTAGAAGAACTTTAGAAAATGAGGTGCCCCATCAAACATAGTTGTGGTTTTACAACATCTTAGTGAGCCTCTGGTATAGCCATAAATTACTCAGTGACCGTCTGAAGGAACTTCTATGTCACAAAAGGCTGCTCAGAATTGCAGAGAGTCAGTTTAGTACAAGTAAACAATCCTTTGAGCTTACTGGCACCACGTCAGGTTGCCTTCCCTTGTGTTGTGCATCATTTCTGGAACTGCAGAGGAAAGGTGAAGGGATATCATGTGCTACTTGACTGTGGGTATCCCTGTCTGCACAGGGTGCCCTAGCTTCTCTTGCATTTGCCAGCCATCTCATTGATGGAGAGCTGTTCAGGCAAATAAAAATGGCCTTTCTTAGATACTGAACAAATCACCATTAACTGTAGTGACGTTGAGACACTCGACTCAAAATTTTGAGACAGCTCTATTTGACAGACTGGAACTAAGTCTTGTGGCTTGTGCTTTGTATCAGCATAAAAACCGGTATTTAGAATGTCCATGTAGCTTGAAATTTTATAAAGCTTGTGAAAGAAGATCTCTTGATTCTTGTGGTAACTTAAAATCAGAACATTCAGAACATCATATGAGTGAATATCATCAAAATATGCCGCAGAAGGCATATCTTTTATGCTCAGACAGACAAATCTTCCTGCAAAAAGTTTTACACAGGAGGATGTCTCTTTGCTTGCTGAGGCTGTCTTCCATGAAACTCCTATATATGAGCCTGTAGACATGTCGGTGTTTCCACTGACATAACGCAGCAGCCATTTTCTGCTTAATGTTGTGCTTTGTTCGGTTTTTTTTTTGTATTGCTAATGTGGTGCTGTTCTCCTATTTTGATGTTGAGAAAAGGTATTGCCTGGGTCTGGTTCACTCTGGTCTGCCAATCAGATTTGGACCAAGGATTAAGTCATTTTATGTGGAAGTTTTGTATTTTTGCCCATGGCTGCTGCAGAAGATATTTAAATTACTGAATTAGTGGTGGAGAATTTTCTTCCGTTACCCCTTTCTCCAGCCATCAAACTGCTGTACCTGAGCACTGTTCCATGGCCAGGATCTGCATGCAGTCTGGTGCAGTATGGAACTGCAATGGAAAGGTTCCTTTCTGTATTAGAAATTCAGTGTGAGCACAGGAAGATTTGAGTTTGCAAACTTGATTTACGCAGCTTCAGTTACTCAACCTTTTTCTCATGCTCCTTATATACTAATGTGAAGAAAAAAATTGTATTTTTAGGTGTTTCACTGCTTGGTAGAAAAGCTGAATTTATCAACATTTTTTGTAATGAATCTTGCACTCTGTACTCTGCACTTCATGATTTAGAGTGAACCTATACCGTCCATTCACTTCAAAAGAAATTGTGGTTTCAGTAAATTGTAGTACTAAATTGGTAGCTTTTGATAGTTGACAAATGTTCTGACAAGTCCTGCTTGTGAACTGGGATGAGTCAGTTTTACTATATCAGGTTTCAGTAGGCCTGTGGCTTTTTGAAAATGGATGCATTGTATTGGTATGGCTTATTCTCAGGATGTATCTGTCTGTAGAGGAGGTTTTAGTGTATATACTAATGGGAGTGAGAAATTCTTGTTAGCCAGAAAGAGGTACAGCCTAAATAGGAACAAGAAAGTGTCTGTGTAATCCTTCCTTTCTGCCACTGTTGTAATGTATAAAATTTGTTTTAAGTTTTGCGTTTATCTGAGACACTGCCAGTTTCTAAAAGTATGATGTATTTCTCGAGATAATTGCATATTATTTCATTGAAACAATTGAAATTTAAAGCAAATGCTATAAACTCAACCGTCATCCAACCCCAGCCAATAGATTTTAAGAGCCTAAGGCTTTGCATATTTGAGTGTTTTCTGCAAACCTTGTACTTGCAGCAAGCCAATTGCTCTGAATCCAGTAGGCATACACCAAAGTGGTAGTGGTGAAAAAGCTCATTCCAGCAAAACCAGAGGCATGGGCAGTTACTACAGGATAGCAACTGTAGTACAGGTTTGTGTAGTTCACCTTGCAGAAGCTAAGTATCCAAACTCCTCCTCTCATTTTAGATTTTGAAAGATTCAAACTTCAGCTGTCATTTTCTGTGCCAGCCACAGATGGCTGGGTGTGGGAGCTGGAAGGAAGCAAGAAAACACATGCTCTAGAAATATTGAACATGGAAGCCAGGCAAAGGATCTGGCAAAAGTTTGGTTTAGGGAGCGAGAGGTATACTCTGGCCTTTAAAAAATGTCTATCCATCACTCAAGTACTGTTCAAGAAAAATAAAACCTGATATGCCTAACCAAAAGGGGCTTAAACTGTATGTCTGTAAACTTCAGATAGAACTGTAGGAACCTAATTTGCAATACTTACTCCAGATGTTTCTTCCATAATATTATCTGCCTGTGTTAGTAGTCCACATGCTTCTCTATGCTTCTTGTAGATAACGCTGCCAATATGAAGACACTATTGCAGTTGATTTGGCACTTGAAGTTCCTCTGTTCCTCTAGTCATGGCAAGATCCAGAGAAGGGTGTCTAGAAAGCAATAGTTTTCTCTTGATGCATTTAATGTTATGCTTGACTGTTTTATGCATTTTCACCATCAAAAAAAATAGGTCTTTATTCAATGTAACATATATACTTCATTTTTAGTTAGTACAGTATTTTTATTCATACATCAGGGCAAACTTTTAATGACAGGTGAGTAAGCTAATGCACACTTTTTTCATTTTCATCCTTAGTAAAAATATGTGAATAAATTGTTTCATTGGGGTACAATTTTTGTTCTACTCTTTTTTCAACATTTTGCAAGCCAAAATGTGTAGTTCTATTTTTCAAAGTAATGAAACAGTTGTACTATACAGTTACTAGCTGAATTGATGATGATGTGTAGCCATGCCCTCCAAGGACGAGGTACAAGGTACACTGTTAACATAGTCCTCTTTTCTTAGGGACACTTTGTAAGACAGTTTAGGATGTACATTTTGGTAAGGACAGGCAGTCTATATGAGCACAAGAACTTCCGTTATGCTGTTTTTTATTTTTATTTTTATTTTTTATTAAACACCAAAAAAAAACTTGCCTTCTGCTTGTGAATCCAGTTGTCTGGGTGTTGCAGTTTTACTCAGTTAAACAATTTTAATAGTGCCAAATTGTTTGCAAGTATACTTCAAAAGAGAGTACAGTGGAAATACTCTACAGGACACTGAGGTTTTAAAGCGTTCTATACGATAGTCACGTACAGATTGGGAGCTAAAACCTGATCAGATTAATATAGACACAAAAACTCTTCAGTATTTTGCTCCTATGTATACTAGACTTGGTCCAGTGTAGATCACAGTTATGCAGACAGGGATTTTTTATTGGAATCTGTGGAACAGCTGAAGTACACCAAGAGTATATGTGCGTGGAGACTGCTTTCATCCTGCCCATGAGTATTGCAGCCAAGTACAAATATCCTCTTTGGCAGCAGGATGCGGACAGTTTGGTTAGGATTTAAAGAGTGAACTTTCCCTTACAGTGATGAGGTACTGAGGTCTTGCAGACACAATCCTTGCACTGTGGGATGAATGGTTTGTCCGCTGTCAGGTATCTTGGAGGCACCAGCTACTGTTTGACTGAGGATCATAGAATCACAGGATCATTGAGGTTGGAAAAGATCTCTAAGCTCATCTAGTCCAACTGTCCACCTACCACCAATATAGCCCACTAAACCGTGTCCCCAGGTACCACATCTAGACATTTTTTGAATACCTCCAGGGATGGTGACTCCCTGGACAGCCTGTTCCAGTGCCCAGTCACTCTTTTGGGGAAGTTTTTCATAATGTTGATGTTACATTTTGGCTTTCTCTGATTGAATGATCCTATCCATCTCTTGGATTAGGCTGCAGCTGCAAAATGAATCACCAGACATGTTAGCAGGGAAATATGGTAATGGAATTTGTTCCTGATGAGGACGCTGTCAGTAGACCTTGGTTGCCTTGCGCAGGATTTTGCTGAGCTGATCTCTGCAATTCTGTCAGGTGTCATAGCTGTGTTACCATAGCCATGTTCTGTTCAAGAGAGGAAGGGTTGAAAGCCCTGTGGAGAAGGACCCAATGGTCCTGGTGGATGAAAAACTGAACATGAGCCATGAGTGTGCTCTTGCAACTCAGAGGGCCGATGGTATCCTGGGCTCCACCAGAGGGGGTGGGGGGCAGCAGGGACAGGGAGATTAATTGTCCCTCTCTACTCTGCCCTCATGAGGCCACATCTGGAGAACTGCATCCAGGTCTGGGGCCCTCAGTACAGGAGAAGTGTGGAGCTGTTAAAGAGGGTACAGAAGAAGGCCACAAAGATGGTTAGAAAGCTGGAGCACCTCCCCTATGCAGACAGGGAGCTGGGCTTGTTCAGCCTGGAGAAGAGAATGCTGTGGGCAGACCTGCTTGCGGTCTTCCAGTATTTAAAAAGGAGTCAAGTCAACTTTTTACAAGGGTAGACAGTAGTAAGACAAGGGGGAATGGTTCTAAGCACAAAGAGGGAAAGTTTAAATTGGATGTCAGAGGGAAGTTCTGTGCAGAGAGTGTGGTGAGGTGCTGGAACAGCTGCCCAGAGAGGCTGTGGATGCTTCATCCCTGGAGGTGGTTCAAGGCCAGGTTGGATGGGGCCCTGGGCAGTCTGTTCTAGTAGCAGATCTGGAGGTTTGCGGCTGTGCCTGTGGCAGAGGGAACTAGATAGCCCTTGGGGTCCCTTTCAACCCAAGCCATTCTGTGATTCTGTGATTCTGTGAAAGTCTGGTCCATTGTGATTGACTGCTGTTATGTCTAGCAGATGTTACTTGTTCCATTAAAAAGAAAGTTTTTTGTTTTGTTTTGTTTTGTTTTGTTTTTCCCTCCCTCTTAGGTGGAACGTATTGGGTATTCAAGGAGCCTTACTTAGCCTCTTTGTGGAGCCAATTTACTTCTCTAGCATCATCTTGGGGAGTTTATATCATGGGGATCATCTATCCAGAGCCGTATACCAGAGGATAGCAGAGATAGAAGATCTACCACCTCTTTATACACTCAACAGACCTTTACTTAGTGGCAAGTATCTAATGGAGAGAGCCGTACCGGTAACTAAGTCTGTTCCAGTAGCATTGTGATTTTGCAGTTTTTCAAAACGTTGGAAATATGTCTTGTGAGTAAATTGGTTTCTGGTTACAAAGCAGAAGATACAGTGTAAACCTAGCAGGGATACACAGACAGAGATACCATAGCAAGAACCTATGGTGAGTTAAAAGATGCCAAAAAAGCCAGGATATGAGCTGAAGGCACTTTCACCTATTTGCCATCTGGAGTGTACCTTAGCAACAGGTGAGGCAAGTTGAAAGCCCTGGCTTAATGAAACCTCTTGTCATCTGTGGATAGTGCATTAGCTCTCATTTTCACTTCTCTTACAATTGCAGGTATTTATTGAATAGCTACGTCATTTATCAGTCTTCCAAGATGAAAATATTTGGCTCACAATCTTTAAGCCAATACCCAACTGAAAGTGGATGAAGAGACAATCTCAGATGTCGCTGATTGTATTTTATTTTGTTATCCATCTGTGTTGGTTGCAGAATTAGTTTTAGTTAGCACAACACCCAACTTGTTTGCTTGACCTAGCTGTCACAATATTTTCATTTTCACTTCATAGTTAATGCACAAATGCTGCATTTAGAGCCTGCTGGAATGTCCTGGAGAAATATTTTTATACCTTTTTAAGTATTAGCTGACAGACAGCAGAACAGCCAAACAGCCAACCCTGGCAAGTAACCAGCAGCTGCTGTTGAAACTTCAAGCATTATTCTTTAGCACCACACAGATTCTAGACTCCAGTGGGGTGAGAGTATTTGAACTAATTTAATAAAATAATAATTTAAGTAAGTTAAAAGTGAAGTTCTAAAGTGTCTTAAAATCTAAAGAAAAAGCTGATTACACTAATGTTGTGAAAGCTTTAAAACTGAGATCTGTTATACTTCCTGTCGTTGTGTGTACTGTGTTGTTCTGTAGAGCCAGGCTTTTGTCACATCTGTTTATTTTCTAGGAAAAATAGTTAAAAAAAAACAACCAGTATTTTAAAGCATGTTTGAAGTTTGACATTTTAAACATGAACATTTTAAACATGACATTTTAAAAATGAACATAGGGAGCTTGTTATGTATTTAATTTATTTCGTAAGGATTCCCTGGACCAGAACATACTATAATTTTAAGTGACATGTATATCCTTATAGTAGCAAGTAAGTAATAGAGACAACGTGCACAGTTCCAAATATTCTATTGTTATATTGACCTAATAGCTGATGTGTGGAGTGTTGCTGATGTCTGATGTCTGGGAATTTTAAGAAATTCTTCAAGACAGCAAATTTGGAGCAGGGCACCTTGGCTTTGTACAAATCTTTTGTTCTGAAATAGTGTTAGATGACTGTCTGTCATGACACAGCATCATCTGTTCAAACAGCTCAGCTAGAACTCACTGGGCAGTAGAGAGAATTCAGAAGTGTTCTCAGCTATTGAGTTTCATGAAAATGCATATCTCAAAATGCACAGGAGCCTTGCTTGAGAGGAGACACTCACAAGAATTAGTCTGATGGATTTTCTTGTGCTGGATTAGTCTTGAAAGCTAGTTTTCTGATCTGTGATGTTGGATTCAACTGGGGCCTAGGTGTAGCTACACATCTACTGTTTGACTCTTATACTCTTGTACACTTATTTCACAGTGTACTCTTACATGGAAATAAGCACAGCAGGAGTAGCTCTCCCAAATTTCATTCTCTCCCTTATTTGCGCCATTGTGGGATCATTACTTGTTTTTAATAATGTAGTCAACTAAAAAAGAAATAGCTGTTCAGTTATGGCATTCTGTCTTTCCTCACTGTCTCCCGAAATATTTAAATGGAAATATTTAGCTGAGAAAACATTCTAAGAGCTGTTTTTTAATCTCTTACAAGATGACTTTTGTGTCTGCAGGGACAGTTGCGTTAAGATGAAGTTACCTACTCTACTGGTAAAAATAATCTTTCCATCAAATGTTCTTTCTTTTTTCATAGGAGATTTTCTAGTTATGCATCCTTTCCTCATCAAGTTAATTGGAAGCATACATATCAGAGCAGCAGTTTTCCAGCTGAGAGTGCAGGAAATTCCTCATATGTATTACCAGTTATTTATCTTTAGTTAACTTCATCTGCTTTGAAGAGAAGCTCCAATCTGTGAATGTACCTATGCTCTTTTGCAGACAGTCTAGATGCAAAAACTTAATTCATATTTTGTATTCAATAAGATGTTGACATCCATGGAAGAAATTTCTGAAGATTTTAAATATTCATGCTTCAGCAGCTCTCTGAATGACTACTGTGTTTGCTTTAATTTTATTGAATTAGCTTGTTTGCTTTTTACAAAAAAAAAAAAAAAAAAAAAAAAAATCCTTCAGCAGACTTTTAGGTGATTTTTGGAGTTTCCTGGCACTTACCATCTCTTCCACTTTGGTATGTTTAGCCCCTTACCTCCTTTGGATGAAACTTGCTGCGAGCTCTGTCAGGCTTTGCTAGTATGTACACGTTGGCCCAAAGAAGTGGTGACCTTTGATTTTGCTTATTAGACCTGGTTATAAGAATATCCAAGAAGTTCAGAGTGATGTTCTCTAAAATATTGTAGTTGTAACACTTTTCAAAGGAGAATGAAACACTCTACTTTCTATCCTATCTTTCCCTCCCACTACTAGTCTCAGTTAATTGTGTTGCGTTCATGTCTAGCTCTTGAGAGAGAAGATATGATCTACCTAAATGACTGTCAGATGCTTTGTTTTTGCAACCTTAGTTTCCTGCTCATGCTGCCTGTGATCTGCCTTCAGAGACTCCTTTGGCATTTTTCCACGGTTCATGCAGATAAGTGCTGCTTACCAAGGTGTCGTTTAAGTGTACTTGAAATTCAGAGTCATTTTTGTTTGTTATGACATCAAAATGACCTAAGAAATGCAGTTGTGTAACTGCTGCTGAAATACACTGCACTCTGGATGTTATATTCCATCTCATCTTTATTTGAAAATCGCTTCTATACAGCCTCCACTGCATGAGCAAGGCAGTAGAGAAATGTAAATTGTCTCCAGTGTTTGCTGAAAGAATTGCTCACACTCTGGACGTGTTGGTCTGGGGAGGGAATCACTCACTAAAGGAAAATGTAGGGCAGAATTTTGTTTTTTAAATGGAAATATTGCTTTTTCACAGTAATAAGAAAAGGAGCAAAAGGCCTTTTTTGCGATACTGACTGTACGATATCCGATCACCGTGCTTGTTCAGTGGCACATGAAACAAGAAAAAGTAATAGCACAGATATTTTTAAGTTAAATTAAAAATGTGACGGACTCATTTCTCATGTGGTAGCCATGTCTACTCTTGCCTCAGTAGGTTTGATAAGTTCTCCAGTATGTGCTGCCTTAAGCAAGTGACTGTTTCACATCAGCTTCATAAAACAAGCCTGAATTTACATGCATATGGAGAGTCAGAGTTTAGATTCCTTTTGTTTCTGCTCTCAATTAATAGTTCTTTTATGTGTAAAACTTCTATTATGTGACTTGTGGAGTAGTAGGGTTTGTTTGCTCTGCAGTGTTTGGTCTTTAGTGGCACAGAAGCAGTTGTGCATGATCCACTCCAGTTTTCATGCGACTTGGTGCATGGATTTTTTGGCAACCATTCATAATGAACAGCAGAAGTTGTGACAATCTCACCTGAAAGAAACTGGAAAATAAAAATAAAGGAAACTGTCATTCCAATTCCATTTTTTCAACTCCTATTTTAAGCAAATGTGGAATGGTGGGACTGTTTATTATTTCCTTGGCATACTGTCTGTCGGTGACAGCGACAAGGTCAAAATAAGCCAAGCATAAAAACACGTCAGTATCAGAAAATCCAATATTTCAAAATGTTCATTTAGTAAGTGAGGAACTGGTTATCTGAATTTTGCTTTGTAATTTTGCATCTAGGACCTCACAGCTCTCACATACTCTCATCTTTGCATCCTACAAGTGGGTGCAGGACCCAGAAGTGCTTTAAGACCTTTAAGTGCTTTAAGGGCCAATAAACGAGTCCTGTGCTTATCTGCTTTAGGCTGACTTAACTTTGTTAGGTTGTATTTCAAATACCATCAAGAAACACATCTTGCCGCAATGCTAATGTTGAAATCATACAAATTTACTAGATTATTTTAGATGTAAGTCCTAGCAGAGACTCAGACTAGATGCAAAATAAACTTTCAAAGAGTTATATTAAAGTAAAAATGGGATTCTTATTTATCAGAAAAAGAAAAAAAACACCCCTGTCTCCTGTCCCTTTCTCCTCCCCTCCTCATGAGAAATTGAGACATACGAAGTTTCGCCATCCCTGTAATGTGTGTGAGGCCACCATGCTGCACAGCCATTCCACAGTGCTTAAACTTAAGTGAAACTTAAACCACTCGCTGTGCTGATGGCCCTGGCTGCTGCCTGAGAGCACTGGGGACGTGTTGAGAGCATTCCTGAGACATGCAGAAAATGGGCTTTGACATTGGAGTCCTTCAGTTGCTGTTTCTGGGCATCTTCAGCAGTAATGAGCATGTGAAGTGGAGAGGCAGCTGAAGCACAGCTGGATTTATGAGAAAAGTGTCTGCTGGTTTTGACTTTCTGCATAGGATGCTGAGCTTGGGGCTTATTTTGTCTAACTTGGATGCCCAAGCACCTCTGGCTATGTGTGTGCTAGTTGCACCATGCCCCTGTGCAGTTGGTAGGAAGGAAGTGCTCTCAGGCGAGACATCCTCTGCTGATGAGAACCAGTGAGGTCAGACCCCTCTCTGAAGGTCATTCCTCTTCTCACAGCTATAAGGAGGGAGGCGAATCAGTAAACAGAAGTGTTACTGGTTCCCAGCTTGTCTTTCACGCACTAAGGCTTGCATTTGTATGTAAAACATTCATGGAAGCAGCACTGCACTACCTTTGAAGGCAGTCGTATTTATGTAGAAATAATGGTAATTCTAATGAAACATACTCTACAGCTACTGAAATGTGGATGCCTTCATGCCTTAGTTTACAAGACATTCTGTCATCTCACACTACTGCTCTAACTCCATTTTTTTACGAGGGAAAGTGAAAAAACACTTCTAAATAGGATTGACTGCTTTAAATAAGATTGCAGTTACAACCTGTTAGCTGAACTCTAATTGTTTGTGCTGAGACATGATGAGGGTTCATCATTCTGCACTGGTTTTAAAGTGCAGACATAGGGAACCGTACATTTAGCTACTTGAACTCTTAGAGCAGCAGAGTGAAAGGGAATTGATGGGACAGTTACAGCTAGGGAAGCTTTGCTGGATCTGCGCTGTCTGGAACTCTGCTAGTGTTGCCAGTGAGTGGGCTTTGAGGGCAACGATTACCTTGTGCAGTACTCCAGCAGCATTTCTTCTTCATAGTTATTTGCAGGTCAATAACTCATCAATTAGTTTGCCCTGTAAACCAGACCAGATATTCCTGATTTGCGTGTTGTCATTTAACCCAGCAAGCTGCTAAGTACCACCTGGCGGCCCGCTCACTCCCCCTCAGTAGGGTGGAAAAGAGAATTGAGAAAGATAAACGTGGGAGAATTCCTGGGCTGAGAAAAGGACAGTTTAATGTGAAAGAAATAATGAGTTGAAATTAAAAAGAAAAAAAAAAAAAAGGTGAGGAAGGCTGCTCACCAGCAGCTGACCAATGCCCTGCTGGACACAGAGTGAAGGCAGCTCCTGTGGCCAGCTTCTGCAGCTTTTATTGCTGAGTATGGCGCCCTTGGTATGGAATATCCCTTTGGCCAGCTTATATCAGCTCCTGGTTTTGTCCTGTTTTATTCCTTGTGCCTCCTGGCCTCCTCACTAGCAGAACAGTGTCAGAAGCAGAACTGTCCTTGATTTGGCGCAGCAATGCTCGGCAACTAAAAACGTTGGTGTATTATCAATGTCATTTTCATCCTATGTTCCAAACACATCGCAGTGCCAGATGCTCTGAAGAAAATTAACTCTATCCCAGCCAAAGCCAGGCTAACATGGCAAGGTGCTAATATCACTGTCCACATGGAGCTCTACTACAGTCTTCTGTGTAATCCTCCGCTGAGAAAGCTGGTTTCTTGTTTCTCTCCCGATGTTTACCTGCTGAGCTAGGAATGACAGAGCGAGAGGGGATTTTAAATCACGATGAGAATCAAATATATATGGCAGTATTTCCATGATTTAGTGAAAAATCTGCAGGAGAATGTCCCCATAAGGAAGAATTGCTTGTGGCATGATTTCAGTAGCCTAGTAAGAAGAATGATCAGCAGTTAGTGTTTATTGTTGTCATTAATTTTCTCTTCTTTCAGGTATTAGCAATGCAGAAGCACGCCAACCAGGGAAAGCACCAAATTTCAGTGTAAATTGGACAGTGGGAGACAGTAGTCTTGAAGTTATTAATGCTACAACTGGCAAAGATGAAATGGGGCGTGCATCTCGCCTCTGTAAGCATGCTTTGTACAGCCGCTGGATGCGTGTTCATGCAAAGGTATATATTCCAGCATGGAACATTTTTCACTTCCAATTTATTCTTTATGGCATTTCCATGTGTATCTTTCTGTATTCAGAAGCTATTTTTTGCACCTGTCTTAAGCTGAGCCTGATATTAGCTACCAGTCCGCACCGTAATGGAAAATAACACATTCATTTAGGTTATTCAGTTGTATAATGCCTGGTACAAAATGCATGTGAGGGTCTGATAATCTTTGGTTATAGCTAAGTAAGCAAAAGCTCTTACCTCCTTTCCTTTTGCCTTCTCATTTTAATTTCTTTGGAAATACAATCCCAGTTGCGCTGAAACCCAGCCTATAGAAATTTCACTCTGTCCTTAGAAAGAAAAGAGCCAAATAGTATACACGAGCTGCTTTTCAGTGTCTAGATTTTCTCTGCCGAAGGACAGAGGTAATCCAGAAGAAGCTAAAGGCATGCTAAGCGTAGTGGAGCTACCACAGCACTGCTGAAAAGTGAAGTCCAAAGATTGCTTGTCTCTGTATGTGGTTTGGTTCTTCAGGAGGGCACGGCTTGCAAGAGGGGAAGTGTGGATAGTTGCAGTGAAACTGAATACAGAGTTAGAATGGCTGGAATTTATATTGTGCTTTTGGCTTGTTGCCTTTGCCTGTACATTTGGTTGAGTAGTTCATTACCTTTTCTAATTGCTATTTTCATAACTCAGTTGCTTTGCAAATGTTGGTCTGAATAAATCATTTGCTCTCTTCTTTTCTTGTCTCTTTCATCTGCACAGCTTTCGTCCAGCTTGCGCTTGAAGATCTTCAAGCCTAACATGTACCATGAAACCAAGCAAGGAGCCACTGAGTATCAAACTGCCAAAGAGTGTTTATTTAAAGCATTCCTGAAGGCAGGACTTGGAGCATGGGTGGAGAAACCCATAGAACAGGATCAGTTTTCACTCACAGTCTAATTCACAGTCTGCACGTCAGTTTGGAAGGGGAGTCGCTTTGGAAATCCTGGTGTCCAGCATTGCTTTCTGGCATCTCCATACCTGTTAAAACATCTTTTTACTGTTTTTTCTTTTTCAAAGCTTGGTAGTAACTGTTTTGGTTTTGCCTAAGTATTGAAACTCAATGATAATCTGACACATAATTGTGTATTTTGTTATGAGAAAGTAATTTCTGGTGTATTTCTAGAAATACTTTTACTGTAGAAAATCTGCAGTAAGGTTGTCTGTCCTTACAGTATACCATGACTCATTTTTTCTGGGTTAAAATAATTGCTTTTTTAATTTGATGTCATCAAGTGCATGAAGAAATAAATATTTATTTAGATTTTACACCACACTTGTAAGAAGTAGCTTAATTTTATAAGAGGAAAATAGGGAACGAAGATGATTCTTCTCTTTTAAGTTGTTTTTGAATTGCAGATGTTGCTAGCATCATCTACATCATCATACATGCTAGATGTTGCTAGCATGTAGCTAGACCACTGGGCCAGAATGAAGTCTGGACAAGTAGTTTTCCCCACTTCCTTGCTCTTTAAAACCAGCTGCTGAGAAATTCATGTCTTTGATGTATGTATTTATTAGTCTATGATCCCATTTTTAACATGCAGCTTTCTATTCTGGTTTTAAAAATACATTTACCTCCCATTTACACACATTGTGAAGTCTTTTTTTTTTTTAAACCATTGTAAACTGGAAACAACAAAATGATTATTTGTAAGTTATGCAGTTTAGTCTATAATGTGCAGAACTCTGTTTAGATGTAGGTGATTTGTATATCCTTTGAACTCATTAGAGTTACAATAATAATTACAACATGACAATTTAGGAAAATTTGCTCATTTTGAGGTCACTAAGCTTGAATGGCCAAAAAAAAGTCACTCAGTGAACATTAATTGTTCTCTTCTAAAAGAAATGAAAAGCTCTTGTATGGACAAAAAGGTTGTTAAAACTTCTCTTCTGCTTTCATTCAAGTTGTTGTGTCCTTTTCAAGATTTCATTACCTTTTGGCTTTACATGTGTGATGGTCTTCATGAAACTAATTGGGTAAGTTGCTCTTAAATGTGGTTTAATTTGCTTTGACAATTAGTTAGGTCTTCTTCATAAAGATGTAAACACTTCAGCTTTATGTAAAAATGTAAAATAGAAAGAAAATATTTTGAGATTTGTTTGATTAGCTGTTGTACCTAAGGCACTATTAAAAACTCTTTTTAGTATATGATATTTAGGTGTGGATTAGAGAATGTCTGAAACCAGTTATCTGCTCCCAAAGTCTATGTCCAAACCCATCCTGTGGCTCATACCTTCTCAAGTGTCATGCTTGCTTTTTGGAAAGCCCCTTGGTGATCATCATTCTTTTGCAAACAGTGAAGGAGATGTTCATTGACACAGAAGTTTCTGACACAAAACCCAAGCCAAGTGTGTCTAATCCCCACTTCTTGCCTGCGCTGCCCAGGACATCAGATCCATGGGCTTGTCCATACTTTGAAGTCAAGGGTTGTTTTGAGACCTGCACTGGGTCAGAGATGCAGCTTTGGGTTGTGTTGGCACATTTGTGGGGGAAGTGAAGTGGAGCAAAGGAATTCTTCAGCCAGCCCTATGGCTAAAGCCTTTGCCTTCTGAAGCTGTCACTGAAGTTACCATACCTCAGACCAAGCATCTCTTGGGGGGTTACCGACTACTTGGACCACTGGAGACTTTGTAGAAAGCACTTCTGGCCTATCATGAACGTCAAGGAGACATGCTGCTTTGTTATTTCCCAAGTAGGAACCCATTTTCAACTTCAAAAAAGGTCAGGCCTGATAAATCACTAGTGTGTTAGTTTCAGCCTCTGGATTAGTGTCTTGGCAGTGGTGTGTGGAAACGCAATTGGTGTGCTTTTGGTGGTAGTACGGATAATAGCAAGCACTGCAGGAAGGCAAGCAAGTCCATGGATCCCTTCAGAAAAGACTGATGCTTCCAGAGGCTACCAAGTTTTCCAGGTGCCAGTGGAACAAATGTGCGCTGCAGTAGACAGGCTGTGTTGATTCAGCTTTGTTGGCAGCTTAAGCTGTACTGTCTGTTTCTGCATTACAATGAGGAGTGCTCTCATGGCCTCTGCCAGCCCCACGAAGCAGGAGGGCAACAGTTTCTGAATGCAGTCTGGGCTTTTGCCATTGTCATCTCACTGAGGTTCAGACTGACTTATTCTAAAGCTAAAAGTAATCAAATGATTTTTGGTCAGAATTTGCAAATGCTTGAGCTTTTACTATTGAGATCAGTCCCATCTTGTGAATGTTGCAGAAATGCCTTTATGGCTGTAAATAAATCTGTGCATACATTTTGCAGGATTGAGGGAAAGCTGGTTGCTCTGTGTGCATTTTTGTGGGATCATTAGCATTAATAAGTGAGACAAACATTTTTAAGGGACTCAGTCTGTTGATAAATGAGGTCTGTTTATAATTTCAAACAAATAACTTACCCATCTTTCTGAATTACTCAATGAGACGTTGATCTCTCTTTGGATTTTTTTGAACACTAGGAAAGTATTAGCTCAAACTATTTTTTTTACTAAGTCACAAATATGAGCAATATATTTAAGTATTATTATAGGCATAGTTTTTTAAGCTGTTCAAATGAATAATTTTAATGAAACTGTAAAGGAAATCTGTTCCATGTCACAATCTTTTGATGAAGGAATGGTGCCAGGTTATTTATGAGGAATAGGTTCTCTCGTTTATAATTCCAGGATTTTAAAAAGTAAGAAGTTTTCCAGGGTTGTATGCAATCCATATCTGTGTTGTGGGAGTCAATAAAATACTGCTTGGCTTCCTTCACTTGTTTGCTCCTTTTTGTGCAGTTAACTTGTGGAAAATTGTGAGGGAAGTCCTCAGTCCCCTCAAGGATGAGCTGTCACGCTGCCCCAGCCTCTGCTTTGCCCATGGCTGTTCCACTCAACACCATGGGCTGGGTGTGATTGCTGATGCTCCTGTATTCCTCGTAAGTCACCATCACTGGACATGTGTGAAGAGCAATGTATGTCATTTCAAGCAATTGTGAAAGATAAGACAACTCTGCTTCCAGCAACTGCTGAATTTTGTGGCTGACCTTTCTGTTCTGTTGATTTCCAGTGCATTTTGGAAGGCTGATCTCCTTGTGAGAAGCCTCACTGCGCTGCATGGGAAGGGTGTACGGGAGCTGGCCTGAGCAGCAGTCTGCAGTGCCACTCCATGAGCTGCTTTGGTTCTCTTATTTATATGTTTTTGCTCCTGTGTTTGCCTCAGGACCTTCAAAGGATTTACATAAAGAGGAACAACTTTGATGCCAGTGAGTACTTGAAAGCTAATCTAAGGTGTTTTTCTTCACATGACAGCCTAGTGATAATAAAGTTTGTCAGTAAAACAAGATTTAGAAGTTTGATACGTATTTATTCTATGGTATCATTTCAAGAAATTTGACCAACTCAACTTCCTTTCTACTCCCTGCTGCTCTGTGCTGGAGAGCCCTCTGGGCAAGATGCAGGGAGCATGGGCCAAATGAAATAGCTGCTAAGATGCTGGTGTTTCCTGGCCACCACCTTTCCTGGAGAAGTCCCAGCTCAGCTGGTTCCCAATAGATCTGATGGTTTCAGGATGCACTGGTTTTGTTGCAGTTTCTTTACAGCAACAAACAGTCCAGAGCATTTGCAAATTGACCACCAGGGAAGAAGGTTGCAAGAGTCTCTGTGGCAGACAGGCTGGGCATTATCGCTGCATATTGTGTGGTATTTTACCTTAGGCAGGTGTTCTGATCCCCCTGACAAGCAACTGGATAATAATAAAGGCCTGGTTTTCCTTAGAATATCCATTAGATGAAATGAGGCTGTAGATCAATCTGTGCATGTATTTTTGCAGGATCGAGGGAAAGCTGGTTGGTTAGATTTTAAGAAACGTACGAGCATTGTACTGTCAACAAGAAATGAGCCCATGAAATCTTGATGTTTGAAGATAATCTGCACCCTGGTGTTACTGTGTTGCTACAGTTTGCATTGCTTTTCTCATCTCATTGGGTTTTAAAGCTTTTATTAAACTTAAAAAGATGAGAGTGTTTGTTCTTGAAATGGAAATGTGTTTTCCTGAGCAGAGCATCTCTGAAGCCCAAGTATGGCACTTTGAAGAAGCAAATTCTTCAGAGTGTGAGTCATGAGCAAGCAAAACAGGGCCACAGGTAGACTAATGGAAATACCTAGAATGGAGCTGGGTCCCAATGATCCTTCTTTATGAGATATATCAAGAGGATCTGAGCAAATGTTTAATGACTATGAAATTCCCTTTTGGAATGTAATTGAGGAATTTCTACTGATAAAGCATTTTCTTTCTTCTTTCTTTTTTTTTTTTTTTTTTTTTTTTTCCCAACAGTAGTGCAAAAGGAATAATTCTTAGACTGGAATTGTGCTGTTCATGGAGTTGTGAAATAAAAATGCAAAAATAAGCTTATCTGGAGTCAGAAGTTCAATAGTGCCATGCCTAACAAAGTTGAAGCTTGAGGTAATTCTTAAATTATTTTTTAAATAAAGTGAGGATTATTTAAAAAACAAACTTATGAAATCACACACAAAGGAAAAAAACAACCAAACAAAAAAACCAACCAACCCAGACTCCTATCTTATTTCATCGGAATTCACATGCCAAGCATTAACCCTTGGCAGCTGGCTTTGCCGTTGATTGCTTCCCAGAGCTAGGTCTGTGTGCTTCTTAATAGTATTTTGTTTGGGTGGTTGTAGGTGGTGATGTCAGTTCTCAGATTTGTTAAACTTTCACACTTGGGTCAACACAAACAGGTTTTGCAGGTCATCCTGGCTCACCATCACTCCCTGCACTGTGGTACCATTCCTTTATCAACCTGATGATGATTTGCATGTGATTCCTCCGTGGTATATCCAACTGCCTAACAGACTGGGAAATGAACCTAGGGACCTATCTACTATCCATTAAATGTGGTCACAGAAGAAACCCATCATCAAGCCCTTTGCAACGTGATGTAGTGTCATGGAGTCATTAATTGTTACACCAGTCCATGAGTTCCATTCGACACATGGTTGATGGAAAGCGTCTAAGCTTCGATAAGAGATGTGTATGTGCTGGGGTTGCCCTTCTTGTAGTTTATATTGTGGGCTATTAGCGTCATTAGCGATAGGACCAGGGGGAATGGCTTCAAGCTACGGCAGGGGAGATTCAGGCTGGACATGAGGAAGTATTACTTTTCAGAAAGGGTGGTCAGGCACTGGAACGGACTGCCCAGGGAGGTGGTGGAGTCACCGAGCCTGGAGGTGTTCAGGGAAAGACTGGATGTTGTGTTGAGGGACATGGTTTAGTAGGAGCTATTGGGAATAGGTGAACGGTTGGACTGGGTGATCTTTTAGGTCTTTTCCAACCTTGGTGATTCTATGATTCTATGATTCTATCCTATACACACTGCTCTCTGAAAATTCTGTAGACTGTATCAATATGTGAACTGGCCAAATCAGTTTTTATTCTGAACCATTTGGACTGCTTTGGAGATGGTCAAGTGGAAAATTCTATTCGTATTTAACCTTAGAGCAACATGCAGAGTTGCAGTGTGGTACAGTAATCTGTAAAAACTCTGCCCAAATTGAGTGTTAGTTCAGTTCAGAGATGACCGCTGGACAGAGAATCTCTATGATATGAGAGAACGTATTTGCTCTAGAAATGGTCTGGGCAAAACATCAAAAGATCTTTGAAAACACTACCTAGCAAGTCCACATGTTGTCAAATTAGACGAGACATGCTTTTGAAGAGTTAAACTCACAAGAGGCGCAAGTACTGAAAGTGGCATTGCAACAGCAGTTACTGCTTGATGTGCTGTTACTCAAGACTTAGCAGAATGCACGTGGCATGTTAGATCTAACCAGAGGGTAATGTATTACTGTTCATAATGCCACAACCTCCATAGAAGCTTTAGACAAAAGAGATCACAGAGCAAACATCTGAATTGTTCTACTCTCTGCTGATATAAGTTGGTTTGTTTACCAATAGGATTAGTACATTAGTTTAAGAATCTGTATACTAGTTTAGCAAAAGGAATCCACGAGTGATAGTTCTGAAACCTTTACATTTCAGCTTGAGTGGGCAAATATCTTGTTTTCCTCAATAATTTTGTGCTGGGGACATAATAGAATAATGTATCTTTTGCCTCAAGCGGTGCAAGGACATTTCCCTCGGGCTCCACATGCACTGTTGTTGAAAAGTGGCTCACTGTGTCCTAAAAATCAATGGGAATCTTCCAAATGGGGAGAGTGGATGGCAGTGGGTCAGAAGTCCCATAGTAAAGCTGATAGTGGGAAATGGGAAATAATAGGTGGGCAGCCGACCACCCTATGTAGCACTGGGCATCCAAAGGCACATTAGCACATATCTGAGTCCTTGAAAAAGAATGGATTTGTATGCCAACGAACTGCATATGCATGTCAGAACTGTTCAAATGTAGATCCTGAACTCTGAGAGGGTGCGCTTGCTTGTCATGTCACCTGGTGCATGTTGCGAGGAATAAAGGAGTGGCACTTTCTGCACCACAGTGGAGTTAGTTCTGTCAGCACAGGGACTGATCCCACTGAGACTGGGGAAGGGACTGGAGCTTAGCTGCTGCGATGCTGCATGACTCCCTGGGAACGGCAGCAAATCCCAAAACAATGGGTCTTGCAGATGTCAGGGTAACCCCTCTGAGCTGAAGGAACACAAAACCAGACATGTCCCAAAAAGCAGAATCCAAGTTTAAGGTAGATCTGAAATCAGAATTGGTAAAGACTGTGCAGCCTTTGGCACAGCACAGCAGGCCTGGGGAATGCCATTTGCAGCTGGCTGAGATGTTTCCTGATGGGTTCAGCAGATGAGCCCACAGAGGTCTCTCATAGAGGTGGTTCTGCAGCGTCTCCTTGAACTGTGGTAGGTTTCTGTATCGTTTTGTGAAAGCTTTTGCTTTTTAGAAATATGTGTGAGCAGCAGCCAGTTCTGAGGTACCTCTGTTGGTACGGACACGGACCTGATCTGAGACAAGTGGGGGTCTGCTATAAAACCGATCTCAGTATCACAGCAGAATGCCTGCTCCAGGTAGTTCACTGAAAGAGAGTAGAAAACAAGCAATACAATTTTTACAGTCACAGTTCTGATAAGCAATATGTGAATATTTATCCTCAGAATTACTTAAACAAATATATACCACCAAAAAAAGTCAAATGGCTGAAATGATGATGAATGTTTCTAACCTTAAAGACATCCTCTGCCTCATCTTCTTCCTTAAAAAACAGTTGGGAGTGGACAAAAGGGCCAGCTACAACTTGCACACCAAAGAAAACACAAAACCTTTCCAGTATCTTCCTTAAGAGTGAAAAGAAGTTGGAAACTGGATAGTTTCAGACCATGTAGGCTTCAACATCTGGGAAGCCTCTGTTGAGGGAGTAAAGGGTCATTCATCTGAATAAGAGCCATGACTTTCAGGACAGCAGCTACTGCCATTCCTTTCCATCCAAAGCTGTAGTTTAACTTTTGCTGCACGTATTTCATGCAGCCGTCCATTCGTTCTGCAGTGCACTAAACGATGCAAAGATATTAGGTCAAGGGAAACAATCAAATCTTCTTAATCTCCTGATGTGAAATCTTTCTCAGTATCTTGGAATAGCACTGATCACCTGGTAAAGTACAAAGGAAAAAAGTTTATCTGGTGGCAAAAGTTTAATTACAGTGCCATCTGCTGAGACCAACATCTCGAGGGAAGCAGGATATATGTTGAAGCCCAATGTGCTATTCCACCACTGGTTTTCTCAGACGTACCCATGAACACCACACATCTATGTGATCTATCTGTCCGTGGATCTATAACGGCAGGAGTAGAACATCATAGCTAACTATACCAGAAAAGAAATGCTTGGCACTGCAGCTGACCAGCCTTTCAAGGGAAGGTGAAAAATCTACCAGCTTAAAGAGGACAGTGATATTCTAGAACCAGTTGAAATGTGCTACTTTTTTCACTTGACAGAAGAGGAAGTGCTGTACCATTATATGCACTAAAGATCTTGGCTACTGCTGTAGCACCTGCTTGAAACAATTACCATCATCTGTGTTCTGCTTTATCACGTTGGCCATCTCTCTGATTAAAATAAATTGTATTACAATGGCCACAGAAATTACAACATGAAGTGAATAATAGCAAGGTTCATATTTGTTTCAGTGCGTTTGGCTGTACAAGGAAGTATCATGCAAGTGAAACTCCGTTCACTAGGAAAGCATCATGGACACTATGGTATCATGGAACTGCTGGACTTTGTCCAGGTACACGCCTGGAAAAAAAATACAGATGAGAGAAACTAAAAGGAAAAACTAAAAGGGATAAAAAAAAAAATAATAAAAAAATAAAAATAAATAAATAAAAAAAAAAAATCACAGAATCATAGAATCATAATGAAAAGATTCAGTAAAACCCAGAGCTTACCTGGTGTCTCTATTGTAAGCACAACCATAGTTGACAGAAACCTCATAGGCATAAAAGGACTTGTAAAGAAGAGTGCTGATTTTGATTCAATCTTTGCACAGTGGCTGGAAGAACTGTGCACATCTCCATTATTCCTTATGCCTGTGAAAATATCTTCAGCAAGTCTCATAATAATTTCTGTCATTGTTGGGTCCTGAATCAAGCAGTGTGCATGTTGAGTGTAAACATGAAAGCACATGAAGCTCCCATCTACTCTGTTCCCCTAAAGATTACGTGTGAAATACCAAATTGTTCGATCGTGTGTCACAACAGAATCTGCACAGAAGATACTGCTTGCATTACAAAAGCAACTGAGTGCCGTCAGCACAGGGCCTTATCAACACTAACTGCACAAAGAGACTGGGGAAAGAGGGCCCGTGATATGCTGACTTTATTTGAGCTGCCCCTGCTTGCAGAGGAAACCCCATTTCAATCAGTGCTACCTACGCTGCCCTGTGCAGATGCCTGAAGTCACGAGCTGCAAAAGTGTTTGCAGATCTAAACATGAATGTTCAGAATGCCGTTCAGGGAAGGTACAGTAATTCAAATTTTCATCACAAACTGT